GGGCGATCTCCATGACCAGGCCTATGCGGCGCTCAGCAACCCCATTCTGCTGTGGGGACTCTGGAAGCGTCCAGGACTGACGAATGCCCTGCTCGCGACAGAATCCAGCGAGAATGCCGGAGCGAAACTCACCCCCACGGTCGGAGTGAAGACAGCTGACACGACGACCACGAGTGTCCTCAGTGGTGAGCAACCACCTTATCAGCGTAGAAGTCACCTCAGACTTCTTCGCCAGAGGGAACACTGTGGTGTAGCGGGAGAAGTCGTCAACGACCACCAGAAAGTAACGCTCACGCTCAGGGCCTAGACGAGGGGCTGGGCCCCAGACGTCCAAGTGAAGCGTCTCAAAAGGCTCGGTGGCCGGACGAAGGGAGGAGGAGTGAGGGGTGGCGCGCAGCCTACCCTCGACGCAGGGACGACACGGCGGCGCAGGCGAAGGCGGCAGCGACGGCAAGACACGTGGGAGGCCTAGGACAAGACGCTGACTAGACATAGCGCGCAGACGTGGAAGGGACGGGTGCCCCATCCGGTGGTGCCACAGAACGGTGGGGTGGGCAAGCGACCGGCAGGAGCACGACGCAGCGACTGGAACAGACGTAGGAACCTGACACGACACAGACACCTGGGGGGTCGTAGCAACCTGGTGAGACGCGGGGACCCGAACGGGGGGGGGGAGCACCGGGGGCAGTGGCAGTAGGGGGGGCTGCTGGTGCGGCCGCTGGTGCTGCTGCTGCTGCTGCGGCTGCGGCTGCTGCTGCTGCTGCTGCGGCTGCTGCTGCGGCGCACGCGGGCCAGTGTGAAGAGTGTAGAGACCCGAGCCCGGCTCAGCAGTGAAGGTAGCAAGAGGCTGGTAAGAGTCTCCGTCAACACACACCGCAGTCTCTCCAGAAGGCTCAAACCACACACCCACGTGCTGACTCACGAGGGGTCGCACGCCCACCAAGTTCCGGGAGAACGAGGGGACGTGAAACCCAGTGAGAGACCCGGAGGGAGCAGCAGGACACGGTAAAGTGGTAGTGTGACGTGCAGTGACTGGTCCCGTAGTGGGATCAGCCAACGCCATAGAAACAGGCGCAGGAAGTGGTGTAAGTGTCGTGCTGTCCCGAAAGAAGCAGTGGGAGGCTCCAGAGTCCAGTGTGAACGACAGCGAAGCGTCCTCTGAGGTAGTCGCTGGTCTAGAGTCTACACAAGTACCTACACTAGCAACAGGCAACTGAGCAAGACTAGCACCTAAGCTAACAACACCAGAGTAAACAGAGTCAGAAACACTAGAGTCAACAACAGCATACATAGCATGAGGAGCACTAATCAGATCAACTAACCGCTCAGCAGACATGCCCCACAAAGCGGAGCCGTAGCGCTGAACCAGAGGAAGCCAGTCAGGAGCAGGACCGCCAACCCCGTAGGTCAACCGGACCGTGTCAGTGAGCTGAGCAAAGCACTGACCAGGGGGGTGAAAGCGGCCACAAGGGTGGCCCCGACGAGGACCTGTCTGAACCTGGTAGGGGCAGGGAGGGTAAGCCGCACCGCGCTGGGGCTGACGCAGCCCCGACCCCGGAGCCAGCTGCTGACGCTGCTGCTGCTGAGGCTGCTGGGAGGAAAGGGGCTGCTGCTGCTGCTGAAGGTGCTGCTGACGCTGAGCCTGGTACCACGTCGCTGCTCCACCTAGCGGGGCCGGCAGTACAGGGGGCGACTGACGAGCTCGAGGGTCGCCGCCACCAGCAGGTGCAGTGGAGTCACCAGCCGCTGCACGAGGGGTCTCTCCAGACGCTGCACTCCCACCACCGTCAGTCGCAACAGCACCCCCACTACCTCCGCTACCTCCGCCTCCACCTCCACCGGAACCACCTTTCTTGCCCCCCCTGCCGCGGGACCGCGACGCAGTCGTAACAGCAGCCGCAGTCGCGTCAGTAGCGGCAGGGGCAAGAGAGGCAGTGAAGGTGGGTAACTGCGGGACTGTGCACCCGTGGAAGAGTGGGGGGGACACAGTACCAGAGGCGGCAGCTACCGAACGAAGGTTGCTCTCGACGTCCTTGAGTGCAGACTCAAGGACCTCGATAGTCAGCTCACTAGGGTGCTTCAGCAGAAGCGCGTCACGAACGGAGGCAAGGCGGTCAGGGAGGCTAGTGGCGATGAAATGGACAGTAATCGCCATGGGGGGAGGAAGCAGTGCAAGCTGTGCCTCAGTGCAAGCAGCGCGGTAACTAGTGTCGAGCGAGCGGAGGTGAGCGATCAAGTCAGCAGAGCGCTCAAACGAGGCAAGATCAGGAAACAGGAGCGGGAGGAAAAGACGGCCGAGAGAGACAGTAGCGGGAGTAGAGTAGCGGGCCTTAATCGCAGTGAGGTACGCAGCAGCGGTGCGAACCTGAGTAAAGTGGACCTCCTCGGACTCAGGGAGGAGGCTGCTGAGTGCGATGCAGGCCGCAGCGTCACGCGACGTCCAAGCCGTCCGGTCAGCGCGCTGACGGGCGAAGCGAGCCGTAGCAGCGTCGTCAGGAGCAGGGCCTAAAGCTGTAGGCTCGGGGGGCTCGGGGAGGTCACCAGTAGCGTGTGACCAGAGGGTCTCGCCCCCCTGGACCTGACTCTCTAACAGACGACGAGCGCGAAGAAGCCAGACGGAAAAGTCAAGGGGTCTACCGTCGGCGTCGAAACGAAGAACTCGCGGAGTCGCCATAGTGAGAATTAACGCGAACGAACAGGCGAGTAACAACCGGGGGGGAAGAGGACTCAGTCGCAGCGGAAGAGCGGGCTAGGGCGACGGGCCAAGACCTAGGGTAGGGCAACGGGCCAGGGCCTAGGGTAGGGCGACGGGCCAGAGCCTAGGGAGGGCGACGGGCCAGGGCCTAGGAAGGGCGACGGGCCAGGGCCTAGGGAGGGCGACGGGCCAGGGCCTAGGGAGGGCGACGGGCCAGGGCCTAGGGAGGGCGACGCGACGGGGGAAAGGGCGGGAGCGACGCGACGGGGCAGGGCGACGCGACGGGACAGGGCGACGCGACGGGGCAGGGCGGCGCGACGGAGCAGGGCGACGGGACAGGGCAGGGCGACGCGACGGGGTAGGGCGACGCGACGGGACAGGGCGACGGGACAGGGCAGGGCGACGCGACGGGACAGGGCGACGGGACGGGGGGGGTAACAGGCGGGTGCGACGCGACGGGGGGAACGGGCGCGACGCGACGGGGGGGAACGGGCGCGACGCGACGGGGGGAACGGGCGCGACGCGACAGGGGGAACGGGCGCGACGCGACGGGGGGAACGGGCGCGACGCGACGGGGGGAACGGGCGCGACACGACGGGGGGGAACGGGCGTGACGCGACGGGGGAGATGGCGCTAGGCTCGGTACTAGGCGCGGTAACAACGAAACTGGTACGAACGAGAGGTAGGATCAGGCTCGGGAGGTACGAACGGAGAACGGAGGAACGGGATCCCACAGGATCCTAACCTAGCTGATACCATGTCAGAATGAGGAATGAGTGTTCCATTGATGTTGGTTGGGGTACATATGACAAACCCTAACTTCTGTACCCCCTAAGACAAACCTCACTACAGGCTACAACATTTGACAGTTAGCAGGGAGGGAGGGAGATGGCAAGAAGGAAGTGAGTTGGCAGGGAGGGAGTGAGTATCCAAGATGTAGAGAGTTTTTAGGGAGGATGTGGATTAGCAGGGAGGGTGTGGGTCAGCAAGGATGTAGAGATTAGGCAGGCAGGAACTAATTTATCAGCGGGGAAATGAGTTCATAGCAAGGATGTGAGTGATTGGCATGGAGCGAGTGAATTAGTCTACTGCCACTTGTGCAATACTATGATGATTCTAATCCTGTACTACCACAATTACTGCAATATTGTTCACTCAACCACCACTCGTCGAAGTCACACCCACGTTAGTGCGAGCTTGCCACAAAGCTTACGCTACTATGAACTTGTCACGAAGTTGTTTTATGGTACCGTATACAGTAGATTTGGCGTGCTTTTACTATGAAGCATTTTACTGCTCTGCCACACTGCTTGTGGAGAACACTTTCCGCGTAGTAGTTAATTAAGCGAAACCCGTACCACCGCACCACACCTCCCCTTCCACTGCAGCACCACTGCACGTAACACTGCATCTCTTTGCAGCACAACATGGTAGGACAGTGTAGCAACACAAGCATGAAGCAAGGTTGCCACTTGCTCTTGGTATCTTGTCAACCATGCGGGTCAATTTTGGAAAGCCACACTACTGAAATCTCAGTAGTGCTGTCCTTGGCACATAGGCGCTCTGTTGATGCGCCTCAATCTTCTGTTTGACTCGTCGGTAGCCCATCAAAGCTCGTCAGTGCTGTCCTTCGCACATAGGCGCTCTGTAGGTGCATGGTAGGGGAGGGCAGAGGCAGAAGCAACGGTGGTGGGAGGAGGGAAGAGATACATTTTGCATCGTCACATCACCCTGCCCAATCTTGTACCTGAATCTCAACAAAGATGTCTTTGGCACATAGGCGCTCTGTTGATGCATGGCAGGGGAGGGCAGAGGGAGATGCAACGATGGTGGGAGGAGGGAGAGTGTGAGAATGCAGGATATGGAGGTGTGAGTGAGAGGCAGAGGCATGCGCACACACATACGGGAGTGAGAGCACGTGGGGACCATGGGGGACGGTCAATCAGACATCCACGGGTGCGTTCACGGCATGCAAGAATGTGTCACGAATGGGTAGGGTGCAGGGCGGAGGGTTTGGGGAGGAGGGACAAAAGAATTGGGTCGAGGGAGTGGCGAAGGGGGACACGTGCTCAGGTATTCGTGGGTAGAGACCATAGCAGTGCCCCAGAGCATGGTGCTGGCATAGGTTGGTTTGTGAGGAGGTGTATACATCAGGTAAAGGAGTAAAGGTGGAAAGAAGCCACGTACTGAGGTACTCGTAGGTAGAGACCATGGCAGTGCCCCAGAGCATGGTGCTGGCATAGGTTGGTTTGTGAGGAGGTGTATACATCAGGTAAAGGAGTAAAGGAGGAAAGAAGCCACGTACTGAGGTACTCGTAGGTAGAGACCATGGCAGTGCCCCAGAGCATGGTGCTGGCACAGCGAGGGGCGAAGCCACGGTACAGCCCTCTCACCCCGTCCTGCTCCACTAGCTGCCTCACCACCGCGGCCACTGTCACTGCTGCTCCGCTCCTGCGCCCCACCTGCCATGTGTGGGGGAGAAGGGAGGGGAGTGCGAGTGGGATGGTGTGTGGGATGGTGTGAGTGGGGTGCACAGCAGCACTGGCACCTGGCGCCCTCTTTTCAGGTGCCTCAAAAGCCTGTTGAGGGGAGGGGAGGGGAGACTGTTGAGTTGGCTCACGATGATCCACCGGCTGTCCGACCCCCACTGCCACCTTCACTCCTACTACTGCACTTCACTCCTGCACTGCGCCTCACCTGATGCGGAGTCAGGGAGGAGGAAGGGGGGTATGGGTGAGTGGGTTGCACGGCAGCTTTAGCACCAACAGCTCTCTCAGCCCGCCCTGCTCCACCAGCTGCTGCAACATACCAACACCCACCCTTCACCTGAATGCGTGTCTTGACGGTGTCAAGTGGGGTGGTGGCGAGGGCGGACGCCAGCCCGGCACACATGCCGCCCCCCACCTGCACGCCCACCACCAGCGCCAGTGGGGGCGCTGCTGCTGCGCCGCCTGCTGGTGCCCACAACTGGTCGTACAAACTGCGGAGTGATGTGGTTGGGGGAGGGGGGGAGCGGGGTTGGCAAAGTGGGGGAGACGGGGAAGGGGAAGAGAGGGTGAGGGAGAGGAGAAGAGAACAGCCCAGGGAAAAGAGCACGCCGCACAGCAGTGTCGGCCCTGCGACCTCACCTCACCTCACCTCACCTCCAGAGCGAGCAGTGATTTCCCTGACTTGATTGAGACCTTTCCCTTCCACCAGTCCCTCCCTTGACATGCGGCCTCACCTCCAAAACAGGCGTTGCGTGGCGCCATAGGTGCCCCACCAGATGAACCCCGAGGGAGCATACGTGAGCACCGACAACCCAAACCCACGGTACAGCCCACGCGGCCCCTCCGTTCGCAGTATCATCACCAGTGCGTCAATCCCCCCCTTATACCGCACTGCCCCCGCCCCTGCCCCTCCTCCTGCCGCTGCCGCTCCTGCTCTTGCTGCTCCTGCTGCCGCTGCTGGTGTGGAAGCTGCTAGCGGCGCTCCTGGTGCAGCGGGTGCGGGTCTGGTGGCGTGGTGTGGCAGGTCGCCCTGCTGTGCCACGAGACGAGAGCTGATCTGATGATGGGCGAGTGGGAGGAGCGGGTGGGATAAGGGAGAACGGCACGTGCGAGGGTGGGACGGGTTGGGACGAAGGGAGAGTGCGGCAGGGGGACGGAAGAGATGGGAAAGAGAATAGGATTGTGGGAGGGGAAAACGGCGGGAGGGGAAAACGGCGGGAGGTTGGATGAATGAAGAACATGGAAATCCTCCTCCTGCCCTCCCTTTCCCCTCCCTCCTCCCCCAATCCCCCACTCCCTCATCCCAGACCATCACTCCCAACCCCCCTGTCCCCCACTCCCTCCCCCTCCTCCCCCACTCACCACGTCCACGGGCACAACAACAGCCTGGGTGGCAAGGGACGCGCACATGCCGCCCACCGCACTCGCCAGCCCTGCTGCTGCCGTATCAGACAAATGCAGCCACCGCCCCGTGCCGCCCACCACACCGCCACCCACCACACCGCCACTGCCACCTCTGCTCTCAGTGCTCCCGCTGCTCCCACCACTGCCCCTGCTGCTACCGCTGCTTGTGCTGCTGCTGCTGCTGCCGCCACTACCACTGCTCGTGCTGACAGCATCGTCAGACGTCCCCTCTACAGGCTGATCCGTTACCCCGTTAATCCCCTTGAGCGTGTTGGCCTTGACAGCCTCCAGCACGGCCATATAAATGATCCGCCCGGGGAGCATACCCGCCACCACAGTCCCCATGCCGCGGAAGAACCCCCTCACGCCCTCCGTGCGCGCTATGTGCCGCGCCATGCCCACCGCTAGGCTCACGGAGGACGGGCCCCTGCCCCCCGCCGCTGCCCGCGCTGCCCCTCCTGCTGAAGCTGCTCTCCCTGTTGCTCCCCCCGTTGCTCCGCCTGCTGCTCCCCCCGTTGCTCCGCCTGCTGCAGCTGTTGCTCCACTCACCGCTGTTCCAGTTGTTCCTGGTGTGACCCGTGTGACTGGTGTTACAGCTGCTGCACCTGTAGTTGCCCTTTTGTCTCCGCCTGTTCTTGCAGTGCCCGCTGCTGTCGCCGCGCCATTCCCACTAACGCGGGCTTCCGCTCCCGCCCCCTCCACCGCCCGGGATGCTCCCGTTCCCCCCGAACCCGCCACCCCGCTTGCTCCCGCCAGCCCTGCATTGCCCGCTGCTTGCGCCGCAGGCCTTGCGGGAGCAGCAGGCGCGCCCGCTCCGGGGGAAGCAGAAGCGGAAGCGGAAGAGGAAGGGGGAGCGGAAGCGGGGGCGGCATGGGCGGCGGAGAGCGGGAGCGGAGAGACCTGGAGGCGCGTTTTGATGACGGAGAGCGGGTAGAGCGCAACGGTCAGTCCGCTGAAGAGCCCCGCGCCCACCACGAACATGCGCGTCTTGTCCAACCTGCCGCGCGCGCGCGCAGGATCCGCGGAAGCGGGGGGTTGGGGGATGGGGAGACGAGGGTTTGGGAAAGAGAATGTGGGGAATTGGCTGTGGGAGGACGAGTCAAGAACCCTAGCAGTTTGGAATGCTCTATTGCGCAAGGACGATCCGCGAGGAAAGATGGGAGCAGACGCAACAGAGAGGGGACCGGAAGAAAGATCGATGAAAGGCGCGGATGGCGCTGGGGATCAAGTAGTGAGTGACTGGCTAAGGAGGAGAAATGCGAGGGCGAAAGGATTTGGAGGAGGTAGAAAGCGCGAAGGGACACGCGGGTAGGGCCTCGGTGAAATCGTGGAAGGCGGGAGCGGACCAGCGAAGGAAGCGTGGTTTTTACCGACGGACCTGTCCCAGTCGATTTCAGGCGATGCGGTGCGAGGACGCAGCGCACCGTGGTCGGGCAGGGACGCCATGGCTGCTGGTGTTGGGTGACCAAGAAACTGAAGTCGTGTGGGACTTTGCATGATGTAAAAAAACGGTTAATATAATTTAAGATAGCTACTCTCTCGTGACTCCATGGCCCAATGGATAAGGCGCTGGTCTACGGAACCAGAGATTCTGGGTTCGATCCCCAGTGGAGTCGCTTCTGGGTTCCACATACGGTTTTCGCTAACCTTGGCTTACATAATCTTTACCACAATATGTCAAAACACCAACATGTTTCCCTCCCAAATAGATTTTAACTTCGGGACCAGGCTCCTACGGAGCAGCCCGAATGAACCCCCTACCCCAGTGGTACTCTATCACCCCACCAGCATCCCCAGACTGCCCCATGCCCACATGGGCGGCAGCAGCAACCGAGACATCAATAACGGGCGGCACGAGGGCGGCAGCAGGCGCACCCAAATGCCACACGCGGATCCCATGCACGCCTGCATTCGCCTTGAGGCTCGCACTGGGGCTGCTGCCACTCACACACGCACTCCCACATGCACTCGCACACGGGCCCGAGTGTGTGGAGTGGGCAGGCGCATGGGCGTGCCGTGTTGGACCTGTGCCTGTGCCTGTGCCGGTGTGCTGGCTTGCTCCATAGTTCACTGCTGGGCTTGCTCCGAGGCTCACTGCTCCATGGTTCACAGCAGGGCTTGCTGCTGCATGGCTGACTGCAGGGCTCCCAGCACTGTGCTCTGAGGCACTCAGGCATGGGTTGGTGGTGGTGTCTGGGGCAGTGCCGTGAGTAAGAGGTGGTGGTGTGGCTGTGGTGTGGTGGCGACGGTGCTTGGGAACGGGTGCTGGTGCTGTGCCTCCTCCCGTGCTGCCGTGTTTCGTGCCACTCGTGGTCTCCCTCTGCTCGTACCCATACCCATGCCCATGCCCATGCCCATGCTCATGCTGAGTAAGTTGCTGTTGCTGATGAAGCTGCTGGTTAAGATGTTGGTGGTCATGATACTGCAGAGCCGCTTGGAATTCTTGCATTTTCTGCTGCTGCCGCACTGCTGGCACCAGCACGTCTTCTATCGGAGATGCTTGTAGCGAGGCACTGGCAGCAACGCCAGTAGAGCTTTTCCTACCCTGCTGGTGCTGGCTCCTTCGCACGCTGCTCTCCATGCTCATGCTCCGACACAAGCTCCTATCCCTCTTCTCACACCTGGTCATGCCTCCAGCCATAGGCTCGGCAGTAGGCTCGGCAAGAGGCTCCACAAGAGGCTCGGCAACAGGGTTTCCTGCGGGTTCGTGAACGAGCTCGGGATTATGCCAGCTAGATTCCATCTGAATGGGCTGAAGCTGCTGACTTGGCAGAATTTCCTCCTGATGTGGCATAATCTCATGCTGAAGTGGCTCCAGGGCAGAGGCCAGTGAGCCACTGTGTGCGGCTGGCTTTCTTTGATTGGGAAGCTGCAGCAGCCCCTTGCCACGTGGCACCCTGTAACTGGCCAGGCTGGTCCCCTGCGGAACCTCTCCCTCTGCTGCTTGAATTCCCCTAGGTTGATTTTCCTGCCCATGCTTTTCCTCCTGCCCCTGCTTTTCCTCATGGAACTGTCTTCTCTCTGTCTCCTGCCTTCTTTCCTCACTGCCTTCCTGGCCCTGCTGCTTCACATGATCACCCTCCTCCCTTTCCTCTGCTCCAACCACGTGCTTTCTCAGAGAGCGATGGCCGGTGGGGTGAGAGGGCGAGAAGGAGGAGGAGGAGAGCGGGTGCCGAGGCCGTGAGGGGGGCCGAGGGGAAGACGAGGAGAGAGGGGAGGGCTGGGAACCCGAGTGGTTGTTGTGACGGGATGGGGAGGACGAGAGGGGGGAGTGGCGGGACGAGGGGTGCGGGGGAGGGTGGGGGAAGACCCGGTGGGCTGGGGAGGCGCGGTGACGGGGGGAGGGGAGGGCGCGGGGGGAGGCGAGGGCGCGGGGGGAGGGGGAGCGGAGGTAGAGGGAGCGGGGGGAGGGGGAGCCGGGGGAGCGGAGGCGGCGGGCGGAGGGGGAGAGGTTGATGTAGAAGGGCGAGCAGCCCGTACGGCGAGGGGGAGCAGCAGCAGCGGGTGAAGGGGAGTTGATCCAATCCTCTAGGTTGATCAGCGTATTCAGCTGCGCGTTGGGCTCGCCTGCAGCGGACAGAGGGGGGGGCAGGGGGAGGGGGAGAGAGAGGGAGTGTGAGTGGGGAAAGGCGAGGAGAATCTAACAGGCAATTCTCAACGCGGGCAAGCGCCCAGGAATGGCTGCGTGCGTGCAGCAAGGGGGTAGAGACGCACCCAGCAAGGGGATGGAATGGTGAGAGGCGCACCTATCTTGAGAGGCGCACCTATCTTGAGAGGCGCACCTATCTTGAGAGGCGCACCTATCTTGAGAGGCGCACCTATCTTGAGAGGCGCACCTATCTTGAGAGCAGAGAGGCTGCTCCCCGCGCCCGCCACGTCCATGGCTTCCCCCGCTCCCCCTCCGCCCTCCGTGGGACTCCCTGGTGCCTGATCCTCATCGCCACTCCCCACCGCACCGGCAGCGGCGGCGGCAGCAGCGACAGCACCAGTGCCGGTCATGCTGTCAACCCCGTTGTTGTTACCGGCGGCATTGCGGCAACCAGCACAGCGTGCACATCCCCCCCCACCACCAGCGCCAGTTGCGCCAAGGCCGCTGCCACCTCCACCAGAGGAGTTCCGCTGCAGACGCCTCTGGTGCAGCGATAGCTTTGACTGCCGCCCGGATGAGGAAGACGGGCGGCTGCCGGCCGACAGAGGCCGCCCGGAGGAGGAAGAAGGGCGGGCGCGCGGGAGGAGTGGCTTGGCGTGTTGGTGCATGTGGGGCGGCAGGGAGGAAGGGACGGGGAGAGAGGGAGCGGATGCGGGTGCTGCTTCTGTGGCAGGTGGAGTGGGAGTGTTGGTGGTTGTGCCCTTTATTGCTTTCTCCTCAACACTGTTGGTGTTTGCTGCTGCACCAGCACCGGAAGTGGCAGCGGCAGCACCAGTGGCAGCAGCAGCAGCAGCAGCGGTAGCAGGCGCAGCGGGAGCATGAGAAAGGGGCTTGACATCGGTACCTGCCATGTGATTGGTCCATGCAACGTCCTCATGGGCCCCAGGAGTCCCACCCTCGCTCGCTGCCATCCCACCCTCATGCTCTGGGCTGCCACTGTTCAAGGTGCTGTCGCGGCCCCCATCACCATTTTCACCGCTCCCCCGCTTCTCACCCTTATGGTCTTCTTCACTCTGGTTACCAATGTGGTTACCACTGTCTTGGTTACCACCATCTCGCTCACCCCCATCCCCATCCCCATCCTCGCCAAGGCGCGCCCCTCCCCCCCGAGCGCGCAGGCGGGCCTGGCGCTTGAGGTGCAGGTTCCAGAAGTTCTTTACATCGTTGTCCGTGCGGCCGGGCAGGTGGCGGGCGATGTGCGCCCACTTGTTGCCCACGGCGCGCTGCAGCGCCATCACCACACTTGCTTCCGCCTCGCTGAACCGCTTGCACCCCTTGCCTCCATACCTCTGCCAGGGGGGAAATTACGGGAGAAGGGGAGAGAATAGGGGGAGAGGAGACATACGTTCAAATGGGCAGTGGTGAAACCAGGGAGACAATCTGGAAACTGGCCAATCGTATTCACTCGGGTGAACCCGAAGTGTCCACGTCTGCTTCGGGAAAAATTCGGGGGCGAGTCCTTGGAAGTCTCGCTCAAACAAGTGTTCTCTGTACACTCTTCCCAACCTGCCATGCAACAAATAACTTTTTAATGTAAAAACCGCGAGAAATGAGTCTACTTTTGAGTCGACTCAAAAGCGGGAGAAGGGGAGAGAATAGGGGGAGAGGAGACATGCGTTCAAATGGGCAGTGGTGAAACCAGGGAGGCAGGGAGGCAGGGAGGCAGTGAGGAGGAAGAATGGGGCAGGTGGCGGGCGATGTGCGCCCACTTGTTGCCCACGGCGCGCTGCAGCGCCAACACCACGCCTCGCTGAACCTCTTGCACCCCTTGCCACCGTAGCGCTGTGGGTATGCAGGGTATAGGAGAAGGCTGGAGAAGAGGGAGGGGAGGGACGGAGAGACGGAAGTTTAGACAGCAGTGGTGACATGGCCGCAGGGAGGCAGGGAGGCAGGGGGGAGGAAGAATTGAGCAGTGGCAAGAGCCGGCAGAGCAAGGTAAGCAATGCAACCCAGCATTGTTGCCAGGATCCTCTCTGTGCCTTGCCTCCGCCTAAGGCATCCCACCTGCAGACCCGGATTGAGCTGGTTAACCCATCGCAGGCAGGCAATAGTTCATGAGACGACGACTCACAAGTCAACTCTTTTGAGTCAAGTCAATTCGAATGTGCCTAATTCAGTTGACTCAAGAGTGGCTTTCCTTCTCAGCTGATTCAAGGAACCCACCTGCAGGCCGGGCTTCAGCTGGTTGACCCATCGCAATCGGCAGCTCTTGCCCGAGCGTCTGAGCAGCCCTCTGGCTCTGAGTGCGCCCCAGTTGCACGGGCCGTGGCAGCGCACATACTCCATCAGCACGCCGTCCTCCTCCGGTAACCACGTGCCCTTCGCCAACCCTTGCTCCTCCGGGTCGCTGCTGTCGCCGCCCGTCGCCGCCCCGCCGCCCGTGCTTGTCCCGCCGCCCATGCTTGTCCCGCCGCCCATGCTCGTGCCCGCGCCCAGGCTCGTGCCGCAAATGCTGGTGCCACCCAAGCTTGTCTCGCCGCCCAGGCTGCAGCTGCTCATCCCGGCGCCTGTCGCCCCTCCTCCGCTCATGCTTCTGCTGACGTCATATGAGCCCACAGCAGCAGCACCACCACCAACAGCACCAGCACTACCAGCAGCAGCAGCAGCAGCAGCAGCAGCAGCAGCAGCAGCAGCAGCAGCAGTTTGGGAAGGAGGTGAGAAGCCGAGGTCAGCATCGTGCAGCAGTGCCTGAGCCAGGGCCTGGTTCTCCCGCTGGAAGGATGGAAGATCCCACTCTGGTGAGCCAGGGCGTGCCTCGCCACTCTTCTGCACTCCACCAATGCTGCCACCAGCAGTGGCCGCCGCAGAAGCAGGAAGAGGAGGAGAGTGGAAAGGAGGAGCGGCAGGGTCAGGAATGGCGGTAGCAGAAGTGGTGGCGGCAGGGGTGGTGAGCAGCACGTGGCTGCTGCGGCTTCGGTTCATGCCCGTGCCGGCTGTTGCTCGTTTGCCGCCTCCCCGTGGGCCCAGTTGAGTGACACGAGGCCTGGCACTGCTGCTGCTGCGACTCTTGCGCATCCCGGCTCGTGCTGCACTCTCACTTCCACCACCACCACCACCAGCATTGCCAGCACCAGCATCGGCAGCAGCAGCAGCGCCAGCAGCGGTGCCAAAGGCAGCAGCAGCGCCCTCAATTGACTGCAGCTCCCCCGGGCACTCCAGCAAACCGCTCAATGCAGCGGGCGCCCGTTCCCCCTCCGCTGCGCCACTCACTCCCGCCTCACTCGCCCAAACAGCGACCGGCCTGCTCCGGCTGGTGCTGCTGTGGCTGCGCCACATGCCACTGCTCACAGCACCGCCGCTGCTGTCAAGAAGAAAGTGTTCGTTCCCCACTTCCGCCGCTGCAGCCACTGCTGCTGCTGCGCTGTCCAGAGGAGCCGCATTCGCGGGCGCAGTGCTGGCCCGTGGCAGCCGCATGCGCGCACTCGTGTTCACATAACCGTTGCCGCGCTTGTCTGGGAGAGCCGCTGTGCCAGGCACTGCAGCCGTGCCAGGCACTGCAGCCGTGCCGCGCACGTGTGGGTGAGTAGCCGTGCCAGGCAATATCTTAGAATTCTCAAATGCCGCAGCATTTGAACCAGCAGTGGCAGAAGCGGCAACGGCGGAGTTTCCAACAGCAGCAGTCGCAAGCGCAGGCACGGGCGGCGCAAGGCGCAACCCGGGCGGCATCTGAAGCAGCTGAGCGCCGCCCTGGCGGCCGCCCTTGCCCCCCTTATAGTCACTTGACTGCACCACCAGCGCCCTCCACTCGGGCTTCCGATCGGCTGGTGGCTTCAGGTCCGACCAAGCCTGTGTGTGAGGCTCGGATTGGAGCAGCAGGTGTTGCTGCTGTTGCTGTTGCTGCTGTAGCATCCAAAGGTTGGTTGGATCGGGAGCAATGGCGGAATGCCCATGTGTACCAACGAGGCTGCTTGTACCGAGTACAGCGGACGAGTCAACTCCAATTACGCTACTCTGTCCCACAAACGAGGCGTCGTGTGCTTGCTCCTCCGAAGAGCCCCACTGAACAGCTGAACCGCAAATGGCGGGCCCATGGTTGCCACGAGGCAAACCGGCATACTGATCATACTCAGCACCGGCGCCCATCATAGGCGTCCCGTTATAAGCCGCCTCGAGAAGAGCTCCGTCCAGATGGCCTTGGGCAGCGACGCTGGCAATGCGGTTGTCGAATCCCATCGCGGGGCCGCACTGGCCTTGGCCGTGCACCATGCCGCCGCCAATTCCGCCGCCAATACATCCGCCACTGCCGCTGTGGGTACCGCCACCCAGTAGATCTTCCAATGACGTGCCGCCCAACAGCATGTCACTCGCGCCGCCCAAATGAAAGTCACTGCCGCCCAGGAAAACGTCGTTTGTGCCGCCCAAACTCGCATCCCCGCCGCCCAGGAGCATGGCCATCATGCTGAGGGTTCCCTGCGGGTCGTCCGCGGCATCCCATTGGTCCACGTCATCCGCCATGGCCATCTGTAGCGCCTCCATCGACATTGACATTGCTGTGCTGCTGCTCCCCTCCATTGTCCCGCGCCGCGCTCGACGTGCGTTGACGGAGATTAACGGAACCTGACGGAATTTGACGGAGTTTGACGGAGTTTGACGGAACCTGAAGGAGTTTGACGGAAATTGACGGAGATCGTGAGGGCGACCGCTGACGGACTGAGGCCGTTATCGGAAATCGTTGTCGGAGCTGACGGATTTTGTCTCAAATTGACGGAATGTGTGGCCGGACTTCTAATCTGCGCAAATCGGTACGAGGAGGACTGAGGGCCGCGGATGTGCGAGCGATATGGTGCGCGCTGCTTGGAATCGCGATATCGATCGGATCGATCGGATCATCCACGCTGCTCGTGAAGCTCGGGTCCTGCTATGCGGGTTTTGCGCGCTGTCGATTATGAGCAGGAGGCTATTGGGAAGCTTGCTTGCATTGAGTACGAATTGAACAAAGCGAGGGGCGAGGCTGAAGGGAAGAAATGAGATGGTTCGTACTACTACTAGCTCTCGGGGGAGGGTCGTGTGTGGCTCGCCATTCACCGCCGTGCGGTGCCGTCGGGAGACTGTAATCGAGCGGAAGCGAAGCCCCGCCGCAGCGGAGGCGGCGCAAGCGGCGGACGGCCTTTCGTCCCCGCGCCTCCTTGCGCGCGCGCGCTACAGCGCACCCTTGGCGGGGGAGCGACGTGCGTAGCCGTCAGTCAGTCAGTCCGTGCGAGCGTGCGAATGCGTGAATCTCTCCGTGAGCATCCCTCCCTCTCTCCTTGCGCAGTTACGCTGACAAAATGGCATCGGGCTAGTACTACTGCTACCGAGTACTGCTGCCGGGTTCATCTTCAGCGCTTCACGACGAGTCAAGACTCAGAATTCTACACCCCGAGTCTACTCGCATGAGCTGGGTTGGCTTGGGTCGAGCCCCCCTAGGAGCATAAACTGTCGCAGCCTCGGCACGGCCCGCCAGACTCGGCACTGTGGTGCCGCGGGTGATACCTCCCGAGAACCTGCGCGGATGGTACAGAAGAGGAAAGGCGATCGGTCGGTGGTGCTGCGTACTAACGCCAATATCAGCCTGTGGGAGATTGATATCGGGAGATATTATCTTGCTTTTTGCAACAGTAAACGGAAGAAAAATATCCGGACTTCAATTTGACTCTGCTCCTTCGGGCCTGGTGTAGTCCTACCTATTAAATACTGTACGGCGATGTATTGTACTGTACCGTACTGTGCTGCACTGTACCAGGAAGGCGTTTCTGAAGGACGGCGTACACTGAGCTGAGTCAACGAGCGTCCGGCGGGGGTGCGATCGCGCGCGATGCGAAAGGGGACGAATGAGGAATCCAAACTGCTAAATCCGATTGGAACAAGAGGGATGAAGCGCCGCGATTGGCGGATATTAAGTCAAGCGTGCATCATGTCTGGCCGTGCAATCGACAACAATCAGGGACTTCTCTCCCCGACGATCCTCTCTTTTCCCATCCCCATCCTCCGCGCGCTCTACTTCCTCCTCACCCTCGCCTGTCTCGCCTTCTCCTACCCAATCCATAATTATGCTGTGGGTGGCAGCGCAGAAAGACGCTCCAAGGAGGGAATGAGGCGCAAAAGGTGGGAGGGAGGGGGAGTGGCCCGAACGAGAGAAACGGGAGGAGAAGAGAGAAGGGTTGGGGGGAGGGGGAGGGGGAGGGGGGGGGGAGGGGGCGAGAGGGGACGGGTGCTGGAGCTGGGAAGGAGGAAAGAGGTGGTCGGTCACGCGGCGCTGCTCTACCAAAGCTCGCGTAAACTGTGGAATAGTACCTCGTACTGTAGTACAGTAACGAGGCTGCAGGGGGAAAGGAACGCACGTGAAATGGAAGCGGTGTTCCCCCGTGGAGCGGGGGCAGGATTCAGAGCACGCTGCATCAGTCCGTCCGTGCACTGCACTGGCCCAGCGAGGGCTGGCTTGTCTCTCGAATCCTGGGGGCTTCTGGAAGGCGTGGCATGGCAGCCAGCATTCTTGCTGCAGCGCCGCGAACAGCCCTTCAGGGGTTGCTGCTTCCAGCCAGGGCAGCGCTGCACTATGCTTCACGTACGTCACCCACCGTACAGTACCGAGTGTGTAACTGTCATCGCAACACTGTACCCAGGGATTTCTGGCAGTGCTTTTTTACTGTTCGCAACTCGGACTGCCCACGCACGCACCCGCTATGGAGGTGGAGCTTCGAGGTTCTAATCCAACACCCTTCCACCTTTTCTGGAGGACCTCGGGAACGACGACAACAACCCTTCCACTGTAGCGGGTGGGAAGGGCTGTAGCACAGTAGCAATTTGGCCCCCCGTGGGCTGCAATGCCGCCAGCGTAATGATGGCTACTTGTCCACACGTGTAGCCTTGATGCATTCATACGCATAAACTCGACGTCGAGCAACGACGGTGAATTTCCACCCTCGGATCAAAGGTTCCAACCGTCAGGATTCACCGACGTTCATCGACGTCGAGTTTGTGCAGCACTTTGTACACGCCATAAAGAGCGAACTTGAGCGGTCTAGCTGGCTCCAGAAAGGAAGGAAGCGACAGCGCGTCAAGGCAAGCATGTTTGCTTGGACGGCTATGTCGCGCCAAATTTGAACAAGGGATGCCGCGATCGCGTCTAGTTCGTAACAGTGATTGGATCGTATCATAAGCATGGGGTACAATGAGAGCAAATCAGCGACGTTCTCGAGGGGAACGAGCGGAAAGCAAGGAACTAAGCAGACTTCGAGTTGCGACGGGTGCATATGAATCAGCATTTAGGGGTGGCAGAGTGTAGCTGTCGAAGATTATAGCTGGAGTGAGGGAGCAGTTAGCAGCGAAAGTAACTGCGGCGAGAGGGGAACGAGTGGGCATGCGAGTGAAAATGGTCCCAGAAAGGCAAGGAGGAGGTTCGAGAACAGTGCATCATGGAGGTGAGAGTGTGTGTGTGGCGTTCGTTGAGTGGAGAGGTTGCTCATTGCCCCAGAATTGCAGAACCGAGTCGCATGAGATTCGCGGCTCGGATCTTTTTATTGTCGTGGGGTGCTGCAATAGCGGTGAGGGGAAGGAAAATCCCTCACGTTGGCGAAGTGTGGGGGATGAGGTGACTGAAACTGAAACGGGTACGAATCAAGCAATCGCTACGTGCCATCTGGATCTGCCCCTTGAGTTGCCGTGAGTCTCGTCTCAGCCCGTTGCCCAACCGTCTCGTTTGGCGTCAATAGACTTCGCTAAATATGTCCGCTCTGTACAATCCCATCATATTTATAATCAACCTACCATAACATTCATAATGTTTCACTCATCACCTCATATTTATTCTTACTCCTACCGTATCAATCATTCTAATTAGATCCCGTCCCGCAAATTACAATGTCCACAACTGTAAATAAATTTTTTTAAAAAGACGCGGCAATTAATAGCATGTGCCTGGTAGTTACCACGAACCCTACCGTACGTCTTTCTGTATTCACAAACGTGTACGTAGTCAAGCTCAAATATGATCCCTACGAAACTCAAACATCGTACCATGTCATGTCAACCCTCCATTGGAGGGACTAAAGTATCCTCAGGGGTCAATACAGCCACTTCACCTAGTTCAGAGCTACCACGCGAAGTGACAAATGTCGAAGGAAGCACTACACCCCTGCACTCTCCAAAACCAATCATCACACCATCTGGCAACTGGGGAAGGGGGAGGCAGTGAGCAAGCGAGTTGCGAGGGTGATACGAACAAGCTACCGTACGACATGAAGCAGCAATGAAATGCACATTTCATGACAAGAACGGGTGACAAAACAGTTCTTGAGTAAAAAAAAAAAAAAAAAAAACATGACAAGAACGGATGATGAAATCAACTAACATGTGGTGGTGGTGACACGAGTCACAAAGTGCAACCCACCTGGCAGGTAGCCGTCATGATGACCTCATCCCCGTCCTCCAGGTACGTTCGGTGGACAGTCCCCCGGGTTAAGCTTCGGTTGGAGGCTTGGGAAGAGTCGTCTGCAACCGTACATCCTTGAGGGGAGAGCTCCAGAGTGAGTTTGCCTGCCTGTGTGCGCTCTAGCAGACACCCCTCACTGCCCTCCACCTGGGGCCAGCAGTGACAGCAGGGGATGACGCATGCATATGAGAAGGAAAGGGCATGCGGAAGCAGGTGTTTTGATACGTCTCATGACCTAACACCCTTGTGAGGACAGCTCCAGGGTGAGGCTGCCTGCCTGTGTGCGCTCTAGTGGACACCGCTCACTGCCCTCTTCCTGGGATCACAGGGGGAAGCAGCAGGGGATGGTGCATGCACATGGGAAGGAATGGGGGTGCGGAAGCAGGTAGGGAAGGGTAAGGCAGATGAATGGTGTGAGGCAACGCCACTGGAGGGCAGTGAGACGGCGATGTGGGAAAGAAGAGCGGCGCTTGGTGCAGCAGGGGGGAAGGATGAACGCAACTGGGAGGGCGTGAGTGGGACTGACAGGGCCGGAGATGGTGCCTGAAGCAAGCAGGTCGCCCGGCCGCAGCGGGCAACCGTTGATGGTGTGATGTGCCACTTGCTGTGCCACTGTCCAGTACCTGTGCAGGCGGAGGAGGAGGAGGAGGAGGAGGAGGAGGAGGAGGAGGAGGAGGAGGAGGAGGAGGAGGAGGAGGAGGAGGAGGAGGAGGAGGAGGAGGAGGAGGAGGAGGAGGAAGAGTGGGTGAGGGGGGAAGAGGCCAGTGCGAGGGTGTTGGTACAGCGAAGGAGCACAGGCAAACATGGTGTGTGTGTGTGACAGGCAAACATGGTGTGTGTGTGTGACAGGCAAACATGGTGTGTGTGTGTGTGACAGGCAAACATGGTGTGTGTGTGTGACAGGCAAACATGGTGTGTGTGTGTGTGACAGGCAAACATGGTGTGTGTGTGTGACAGGAGGCAATCTATGGGAGAGCCAAGTGTCCTCAGCTTGTGGGCTTTCGAGTTTTGTTAGAAGTGATACAAGCACTTCCCATGCCCGTGCATGCATGCACCCGTGGGCACTTTTGAGGCGCCTCAAAAGCACTTCCATGCCCGTGCATGCATGCACCCGTGGGCACAAGACACTGACAGGTGCTTGAAGTTGCTGCTGCACACAGGGACAGGTGGCAGCCTCTGGGAGAGAGAAGCGTTCCCAGCAGCAGAGGGAGGGGAGTCCAGAGCTTTAGCGGAGAGGAGGGCGTGTGGGCACGGAGGCACGGGCGGAGGGGCGCCTGGAAGGATGGCTGCTGTGGTGGGCTGTGTGGCTGCTGTGGTGGGCTGTGTGGCTGTGGTGGGCTGTGTGGCTGCTGTGGTGGGCTGTGTGGCTGCTGTGGTGGGCTGTGTGGATGTGGTGGGCTGTGTGGATGTGGTGGGCTGTGTGGATGTGGTGGTGGGGGGAGCAGGGGATGGAGGTGCGGAGGGAGCAAGGGAGACCTGTGGGGATGGGATGATGGTAGAGAGGAGAGGCAGCAGCAAGGGAGGAGTGAAGGGGTGCGAATGGGAGCGGAGGGAACCAATACAAACCAACCCAATCCAACTCAATCCAATCCAATCCAATCCGATCCAATCCAATCCAACTCAATCCAATCCAATCCAATCCAATCCAACTGATCCACAATACGAAGCCCACTAATTTCCTTCCACCCGACCCATGCACCTGTATCCACACTCACACTAGCCTAAGCACAAACCCACACACCAAATCTCCCCTCTCTCCCCCCTCTCCCACCTCTCCCTCCTCTCCCCCCTCTCCCCAATCTCCCCCCTCTCTCCCCTTTCGTACTCCCCAAGCGGTGCTTGCCTGCAGGTGAATGTCGAAGATGACGGGTTTGGGGTCCCGGAGGTATGGCAGTGGCTCTGGGTCCTGTGCGGTGGGGGGCGGTTGGTGGGGTGGGCAGTGGATGGTGCAGAAGAGGAGAGGAAGAGAGGAGGAATCACGGAGTACGGGAGTGGAGTTGATTCACGTTGCTATGCTCAAGGCAAGGGATTAGGTCACTTTTGAGGCGCCTCAAAAGTAATTCACGTTGCTATGCTGAAGGCAAGGGGATTAGGTTTCCCATGTTGAAACGAAAGTGAGGAAATAGAAATTAGAGTGAAGGTGAGGGAGTGGGAGGGGTTTGAAACTGGAACTGAAACAACAAGAAGTGCACCAGAAGGGGCGGGGAGAACCTGAGGGGGCACCTGAGTGAGCACCTGAGGGGGAACCTGAGTGAGCACCTGAGGAAGCACCTGAAAGATCACATGAGGGGGCACTTGAGCACCTGAGGGGGCACCTGAGCACCCGAGGGGCACCTGAGAGAGCACCTGAGGGGGCGGGGAGCAGATGAAGGGGCGGAGAGCATCCATTGTGACGACCCAGGGGGATATGGTTGTGGCTGCCACACGCGGCACGGGGAAAAGGGGGAGAGAAATTTGTGGAATGGATGACAACCCAGGGTAATGCACGATGCGAGTATGGATGCATTGGGTGATGAGACGACCCAGGGTGATATGGTCGTGGCTGCTCACATGCCATGGGGGAGGGGGCGGGGGAGAGATGGGTGGAAATGGGTGGAGAGAGTGATGACGCTGGGTTATGTACGATGCAAAGGGAGAGTATGGATGCATGAGGTGATGATGACCCAGGGGGGAATGGTGGTGGCTGCCGCACATGCTATGCAAGGGGAGCGGAAGAGATGGGTGGAATGACGACAACGGCACACGTTTATGCACCATGTGGCATGCGGGCATGGTTACACGTGATGTGCGAACGACACAACATTTTGCCAAGGCCATGGCAGCAACACTCCCCCTCCCACTTCCCCCACCACTCCCCCACCCCCTTCCCCCACCACTGACCGAAGTTCTTGCCAAGGAAGGGGCCGAGTGGAACGTACTCCCACCGCTGGATGTCCCTCGCTGCACCGGGGGAGGATATGCACGCAGGTGGGGGAGGGGGAAGGGAGAGGGATTGGAATGGAAGGAAGAGAATAGGATGAGAGTAGGATGAGAGTAGGATGAGAGTAGGATGAGAGTAGGATGAGAGTAGGATGAGAGTAGGATGAGAGTAGGATGAGAGTAGGATGAGAGTAGGATGAGAGTAGGATGAGAATAGGATGAGAGTAGGATGAGAGTAGGATGAGAGTAGGATGAGAATAGGATGAGAGTAGGATGAGAGTAGGATGAGAATAGGATGAGAGTAGGATGAGAGTAGGAAGAGAATAGGATGAGAGTAGGAAGAGAATAGGATGAGAGTAGGATGAAAGTAGGAAGAGAATAGGATGAGAGTAGGATGAGAGTAGGATGAGAGTAGGAAGAGAATAGGATGAGAGTAGGAAGAGAATAGGATGAGAGTAGGAAGAGAATAGGATGAGAGTAGGGCGAGAGAAGGGCGAGCGTCTGAGAAAAGGCTGGGCCGCTGTGGATGACCTGTAGTTACATCTCGCTTGGCCCAGCCGTTTCATCTCACCGCTCCAGTTGTTACATCTCACCGCTCGAAGCGTTTCATCTCACCACTCCAGGGTTGCAGCTCACCGCTCCAAGCGTTTCATCTCACTGCTCCAGGCGTTACATCTCACCATTGCAAGCGTTTCATCTCACCACTCGAGTCATTTCATCTCACCACTCCAGTCGTTTCATCTCACCACTCCAGTCGTTACAGATCACCATGCCAAAGCAGCAGTCCAGCGCCCCCTCCACTGGAATGCTCTCTCCCCTCTCATTGCCCGGTCCAATCAACACCGCCTGATGCGCCAAGGTCGACGAGCAAAGGGTGGCAGGGAAAGAGGTGGGTGGACAAGGGGCACAAGGGTTCTACGCTTAGAAAATCAATGGGCATAGGGTGAAGGACGCAAATGAATCCCCGCACTGCCTCTCCACTCTGCCATCTAGGTCCCCCCCTCACCTCCCCATGAAGCCACCCCACTCTGCCACGACTCACCATCTCGAGCTCAAAGTCCAGCTGCTGTGTGGGGCCGAAGAGAGGGGCGAGGGGCGTGGGGGACGAAGTAGGCAGCCCCAACTGACCCCTCAGCACGAGGCCACCCCACTCCACCACGCGCCACTCACCATCTCGAGTTCAAAGTCCAGCTGCTGTGTGGGGCCGAAGAGAGGGGCGAGGGGCGTGGGGGGCGAGGCAGGCAGCCCCAACTGACCCCTGCCGGGAGAGTGAGGGGCAGGAGAGGGGTGGGAATGGGGGGGGGATTGTAATCTCAAAAGCCGTTTTGCATTTCAGCCATCAGCTGTTGCTGCTGAGGCGAACAGTTGCTGGCTGTTGCTGTGTGTGAGCCAACATGTGAATCCAGTTCAGTCTGTTCACATTCCACCTGGATCACTCTGTCTGTAATATTCACCTGATTTTCACCAGAGCCACAGTGGCTTTTACCTGGGCCGCACGATGGGAGTGCCGGAGACCACAACAGACGACGACCTGCCATGGTATGCTATGGGCATGTGCAACCTGGTGGGCCATACCATGCCATAAAAAGACATACCACTCCAAAGCACAGCATGGCATGGCATCACAGGCAGAGAAAAGGGTAAGCACGTGGGCGAAGGTGAGAGAAGGGTAAGCACGTGGGCGAAGGTGAGAGAAGGGTAAGCACGTGGGCGAAGGTGAGAGAAGGGTAAGCACGTGGGCGAAGGTGAGAGAAGGGTAAGCACGTGGGCGAAGGTGAGAAAAGGGTAAGCACGTGGGCGAAGGTGAGAAAAGGGTAAGCACGTGGGCGAAGGTGAGAGAAGGGTAAGCACGTGGGCGAAGGTGAGAGAAGGGTAAGCACGTGGGCGAAGGTGAGAGAAGGGTAAGCACGTGGGCGAAGGTGAGAGAAGGGTAAGCACGTGGGCGAAGGTGAGAGAAGGGTAAGCACGTGGGCGAAGGTGAGAGAAGGGTAAGCACGTGGGCGAAGGTGAGAGAAGGGTAAGCACGTGGGCGAAGGTGAGAGAAGGGTAAGCACGTGGGCGAAGGTGAGAAAAGGGTAAGCACGTGGGCGAAGGTGAGAAAAGGGTAAGCACGTGGGCGAAGGTGAGAGAAGGGTAAGCACGTGGGCGAAGGTGAGAGAAGGGTAAGCACGTGGGCGAAGGTGAGAGAAGGGTAAGCACGTGGGCGAAGGTGAGAGAAGGGTAAGCACGTGGGCGAAGGTGAGAGAAGGGTAAGCACGTGGGCGAAGGTGAGAGAAGGGTAAGCACGTGGGCGAAGGTGAGAGAAGGGTAAGCACGTGGGCGAAGGTGAGAGAAGGGTAAGCACGTGGGCGAAGGTGAGAGAAGGGTAAGCACGTGGGCGAAGGTGAGAGAAGGGTAAGCACGTGGGCGAAGGTGAGAGAAGGGTAAGCACGTGGGCGAAGGTGAGAAAAGGGTAAGCACGTGGGCGAAGGTGAGAGAAGGGTAAGCACGTGGGCGAAGGTGAGAGAAGGGTAAGCACGTGGGCGAAGGTGAGAAAAGGGTAAGCACGTGGGCGAAGGTGAGAAAAGGGTAAGCACGTGGGCGAAGGTGAGAGAAGGGTAAGCACGTGGGCGAAGGTGAGAGAAGGGTAAGCACGTGGGCGAAGGTGAGAGAAGGGTAAGCACGTGGGCGAAGGTGAGAGAAGGGTAAGCACGTGGGCGAAGGTGAGAGAAGGGTAAGCACGTGGGCGAAGGTGAGAGAAGGGTAAGCACGTGGGCGAAGGTGAGAGAAGGGTAAGCACGTGGGCGAAGGTGAGAGAAGGGTAAGCACGTGGGCGAAGGTGAGAGAAGGGTAAGCACGTGGGCGAAGGTGAGAGAAGGGTAAGCACGTGGGCGAAGGTGAGAGAAGGGTAAGCACGTGGGCGAAGGTGAGAAAAGGGTAAGCACGTGGGCGAAGGTGAGAGAAGGGTAAGCACGTGGGCGAAGGTGAGAGAAGGGTAAGCACGTGGGCGAAGGTGAGAGAAGGGTAAGCACGTGGGCGAAGGTGAGAAAAGGGTAAGCACGTGGGCGAAGGTGAGAAAAGGGTAAGCACGTGGGCGAAGGTGAGAGAAGGGTAAGCACGTGGGCGAAGGTGAGAGAAGGGTAAGCACGTGGGCGAAGGTGAGAGAAGGGTAAGCACGTGGGCGAAGGTGAGAGAAGGGTAAGCACGTGGGCGAAGGTGAGAGAAGGGTAAGCACGTGGGCGAAGGTGAGAGAAGGGTAAGCACGTGGGCGAAGGTGAGAGAAGGGTAAGCACGTGGGCGAAGGTGAGAGAAGGGTAAGCACGTGGGCGAAGGTGAGAGAAGGGTAAGCACGTGGGCGAAGGTGAGAGAAGGGTAAGCACGTGGGCGAAGGTGAGAGAAGGGTAAGCACGTGGGCGAAGGTGAGAGAAGGGTAAGCACGTGGGCGAAGGTGAGAGAAGGGTAAGCACGTGGGCGAAGGTGAGAGAAGGGTAAGCACGTGGGCGAAGGTGAGAGAAGGGTAAGCACGTGGGCGAAGGTGAGAGAAGGGTAAGCACGTGGGCGAAGGTGAGAGAAGGGTAAGCACGTGGGCGAAGGTGAGAGAAGGGTAAGCACGTGGGCGAAGGTGAGAGAAGGGTAAGCACGTGGGCGAAGGTGAGAGAAGGGTAAGCACGTGGGCGAAGGTGGGGTGGAAGAGCACATGCACGAGTGTGGATGTTGACTTGACTCGAGTTCCACCCTTCCAGCACCACTCTGCGCCCCACCCTACCACAATCCACCATTGCTCTGCCATCCCTCACCAGTGTGCCGCCACCCAACTCTGTGAAACCCCCCTTTCTCCCCCATTCTCCACCCTCCTCTGTGCTGCTCACCACTTGGGCGGCAACTCATTGCCAGGTCTTCTAGAAGAGGCGCAAGTGCTGCTCCTCATGACCAGGCGTGATGGGCAATGGAGGTAGACGCGGAGGTGGCGCAGCTGAAGAGGGAGAATGAGCAGCTGCGCGCTCAGCCGCTACGACTGAGTTTCAAACAAATTTGGTGAGTGCACAGGTGCTGCTGCTGCTGCTGCTGTGTACTCACCAAATTAGTCTGGAACTCAGCAGTAGCGGCTGGGCGCACAGCTGCTCGTTCCCCTCCTTCAGCTGTGCCACCTCTACCTCCAACCCCATTGCCAGTCACCTGCTGCTTCCCTCCCCCCCTTTTCTCACCATTGCTTGGGCAGCTCGTTGCCGGGTCCGCGGAAGAGGCGACCCACGTTGGTGGCGTGGTGGCGGGTGTGACCTTTTTTTCCAAAGGGGTCCCAAGACCTCCTCCCCCCCTTCCATGCCGCTAACCACTGCCCCTCACCACTGCTTGGGCAGCTCGTTGCCTGGTCCGCGGAAGAGGCGACCCACGTTGGTGGCATGGTGGCGGGACGCGTAGAAATCCGTGTAGTCGCCTATCACTGCTGGTAGCTCCATGCTCACACGCGCCTGAGGGGATGGGGAAGGAAGAGGGGGGGGGAGCGGGAAGGGTAGGTGCACGGTGGTGGGAGGTGTATAAGTCCGTGTTGTCGCCTACCGCTGCTGGTAGTTCCATGTGCACACACGAGACTGGGAGAGAATGGGTAAGGGAAGCAGGGGCGAGAGGGAGGGTGGTGCATGGAGAGTTTGGAGGCGTGGTGGCAGGAGGCGTAGAAATCAGTGTAATCACCCACCACTGCTGGCATCTCCATGCTCACACGCGCCTGGGAGGGGATGTTGAGGAGGGCAGCCCAAGCGACAGGGAAGAGGGGGAGCAAGAGTGAGAGGGAGAGATGGCGCTTGGAAGAGAGATGCATGAAAAGCACGGCGGTTGCTGCCGGAGTGTGGCTCATGTATTTGCCCACCGTTGCACAGGAGGGGAGATGTGGGCGCGAGACAGGCAGGCAAAGGGGAGGACGCAGTGCCTGCTTGGGTCCACAAGACGACAACACAAGCCTTGATTGCACCTGAGGGTGGAAGGCACCTGAGACCCCACCTGAGGGTGGAAGGCCTTGGCGCGCAGAGGCTTGTTGTCCCTCAGTGCTGGCTCGTCCGCTGATGTCAGCAATGCCATGCAGTACACAGGTGAGGCGATGGGGAAAGGGCTGCAGATGAGAGTGGCATGCATGGCACTGCCGCATGGCATGAGTGGCATACGAGCATGGATGGAAAGTATAGTAAAGGGAGAGAAAAATTGCATGACAAGCCCTATGTCAGGAGGTTACAACAGAGGCATATGAAGATAACGAGGGTGTTTCCAACTTTTCATCAGGTGGTTGGTCAGGTGGTTTCACCAGAGAGCAGGCGCTGAAGGGTGGTGCGAGTGCGTTGCCACACGGGGCGGCCCAGCGCCATAAACGCGTTCAGTGACGCCTGGCGAGGGGGAGAGGTGCGTGGGGAGTGGAGGAGGAAGGTGTGTTTTGGAGGAGGGAGGGCAGTGCGAGTGCGTTGCCACACGGGGCGGCCCAGAGCCATGAACGCGTTCAGTGACGCCTGGTGGGGGGAGGAGGATGTGAGTGGGGAGGGTGGGGTGTGGAAGTGGAAAGTGTGTTGCGGAAGAGAAAGGGTAGGGCAGACGGTCGTGCGCCATGAACACGTTCGGTGCGGCTTTTGAGAATTCTCAAAAGGCCCTGCGCCATGAGCGCGTTCGGTGATGCCTGGCAGGAGGCGCTAGGGGAGTTTGGGGGGAGGACCGTGTGATGCCCGTGCGACAGTCTCGCGCACAGCGCTCTCGCCTGTGCAACTCTCTAGCGTGCAACGCTCGACTCGCACCAGTGGTGGAAGCAGCCCGTGTCTTTGACGACGTCGCCCACTGCTCCCAGCAGCCCCGCGGCCGCCACCACCGACAGGTACAGAACCTGCTCGCCGATCGCCCGTGCAACTCTCTCGCCAGTGCGACTCGTCCGTGCGACTCTCTCGTCTGTGCGACACTACCTGGTGGAAACCTGCCGTGTCTTTAACCACGTCGCCCACTGCCCCCAGCAGCCCCGCGTCCGCCACCACCGACAGGTACAGAACCTTCTGTAGCTGTTTCTTGAAAAAAAAACTTAAGAAACACCTTCTCAAATTTCTCAACTAGCAGTCTACCTGGTGGAAGCAGCCTGTCTCTATGACGACGTCGCCCACGTCGCCCAGCAGCCCCGCGTCCGCCACCACCGACAGGTCCAGAACCTGCTCGCCGATCGCCACGCCCACTCGTGCCGAGCCTCCCGGCGAGGGTCGGAAGACGCCGAAAGGGAGGTTCTGGATCGGGAAGTGGCAGCTGGGAGGCACGGGGACGAACGAGGCTAACGGCGCAGCCACCATGATAGCGGGCACTGAGTCGCGGCAGAGGGCGCCCTTACTTCCTGAGCCCGGCGGCTTCTAGAAGAAGCGACTCAAGAAATAGAAAGAAAATCGGTTAGTTCTGGGAATTCGCTGTTCTTGACAATGCTTCCGGACAGCGACAGTGCAAACAGTGCCAGCGCAGTGGCTCGTAGCATCAACGCTCGTAGCAGCAACGGGCCGAATTCCGAATCGGTTGAAACACTTGACGATATTTCCAGAGAGGAAGACAGAGCCACTGCATTAACGCGGCTCGACGCAGCGCGACGGGCGCTGGACCTCCAGCACAGTTCGTAAAGCGTCCTCAGGGCTGTGCTTGCGAATTCGCGTAATTCAGCAGAAAAACTTCCTGTGAAATCGGACGCGCAATTTTACGAGAATTCGAGGACTGTCAGACTCGAGGCACACTTGCTAGCTAGTGCTGTACTTCTCAAGGCACCTCGAACTCTGTGCGCCTGTTGCGCATTTCTGTTGCGGGAGGATGTTCTGGTATTTCCCAAGGCATCGCGAAGGGGGATAAATTCCTGACCTGGCACTGACTGCTTCTGACATCACTTTCGAGCAGTGCTGACGAGCAGAGTGGTGCACTGGTCTATTTGCCGAGTCATTGCGTTGCGAGGTTCTTTAAAATATACTTCCATACACGTAGACTATCAAGATACACGTTTATTGAATCCCAAATATACAAAAAGAAAAAGAGAACCAGAAATGTCAGAAATCAGTGTAGGAGCTTTGAAATTCTATTGTACACACATTTGTTTATCAAGGCTCCACATTGATTGGATTAAAAACCTCGACCCTCTCCGACCCATAAGGTTATAAGCCGCTGCATTCCGGGGATTCACCCAGCCATCCCCATAGATGTACGTGCACTTGTCCGCTCCCTCCACCTGATCATGGTCGTACCATGCCGTGAAGAGCGGGTCCTGGGCTACCTCCGCTATCTCATGGGCGAAGGTGGATAGAGTGGCGTCTACATTGATACCGTTGAATGTGTCGCTGCAAGGTTGGGAAGAACGAATATGAGACGAAGAGAAAAAAATAGTCTGTGAAACAAGATCGGTGCTGTTTCTGTCGTGCAACCCCCTCGCATATGTCTGGTGCTCCAAGGCAGTTACTGTGTATGCATGAAGAGACGACACCTCACCATAAGCATTGATGTGTTCAGGTCACACGGCCAAGCAAACGATCTAGACAATGTGCAGCAAGAGGTTGCACTGGAAATGGGCCACATGCACTGCAAGCGAGTATTCAAGCAAACGTATCTCCGGTACAATGCAGTGAGTCACTCATCATGGTGGCAGTCCAGTCAAGTGCACTGTAGCAAGTCACTCACTAGGGAAGCGGTCGGGTGCACTGCGAGGGGCAGCGAGCAGAGTGCCCCGCGAATCCGAACTTGAGGGCCTTGCCCAGCGCGTCCTGGCCGTAGCTGTGGTAACCGCAGAATTGCGTGCAAAATCCGTCCCTGGGATCGCTGCTATACAAAAAAGACATCTACATTGTTGCGAGTTACTCACTAGGGAAGCGGTCGGGTGCACTGCGAGGGGCAGCGGGCGGAGTGCCCAGCGAATCCAAACTTGAGGGCCTTGCCCAGCGCATCCTGGCCGTAGCTGTGGTATCCGCAGAATCGCGTGCAGAATCCGTCCCTGGGATCGCTGCTCTTCACCTCCACCGTCGGATCTGTCATGACCATGTAGATGCCGTCCGTGTCGAAGGGCAGCAGCTTGCTCCGTAGGTGATAGTTGATGACTGCAGGGGGGTGGGCGGGGAGGGGGAAGGTGAAAGGCGCAGGCATGATGAGGCGGGGTGAAGTGAAACATAGAGGGGTGGGTGTTGGGTGCAGGCATGACGAGGCAAACCGAGAGGCAGGAGGCAGCGGGGGCGTTAGAGCTTGGGAGAAGAAGTGAATAGGTAGACAGGGGGCGGTTATGCAAGCAAGCAGCAACAGAATTTCGACGAATGCGCCTGAGTCGGATCTGGATAATCCTAGAAAATCATGTCCTGTGGCGATTCTGAAGTATGACGCACATTTCTTTAAGATAGTGGCCGAATTCCTTCACTCTTTACAGCATTGAACTTAAGAAAGCGACTTACTGGCTACCACGTCCTTCTGGTAGTTGCGCAGAACCTTCCCGCCGCCCGACACGTAGTTCCTGTCCAGAACCGACTTCCCCAGCGCCACGGTCGAGCTCACGCGCTTGCCGTCCGCCTGCGTGCCGGCCGCCGTCAGACCCCACCACCGCGTGACATTGTAACGGTCAGCCGGCGTCTTGTATTTCCCCGATATAGAGTCGACGAACTTGTGAAACAGCTGCACCGTCGTCGCGTCCCAGTCGCCGTAGAATATAAGGTACAATCTGATCGGCGACTTGGTCATTACTGGGCCGCCATGGTACGTCACTTTCCCGCCTTTTCCGAACTGACCGTTGCCGAATTTCATCTCTAGCGCGGAGGATAAGGAAACCCTCCGCTCCTTCCCGAGCGTCCATCCGCCGTTCGGCCCGCCCCGCTTCTTCTTCGGCGGAATCCCCCCTCCGCCGGTGCCGCCACCGCCGCTGCCCGTCGAGTTTTTGCCCCCCGGAGTAATAACGGGGAACTTTCCCGCGCCGCTGTTGCTCGACCCTCCCGACGCCTGCCCCCCTCGCTTTCCGCGCTCGCCTTTCCCCGGCGTGATATCAATCGGCGCGGCTAGTCTAGTCCCCGCCCCTCCGCTTGCCCCTCCTTGCCGGCCGCTGTTTTTCCCCCGGTGATAGAACGCCACGCCCTTGGGAATGACGAGAGCATGCTCCTCCGCTTCCGTCCACGTCTCGCCACTCTCCTTCCCTTCCGCCGCCGCGTCCTCAGCTCCTTTTAGCCTTCGTCGGCCCGCATTCGCGAATTTCGACGATACGACTCTAAGGACGCGTTTAGGGACCGGTTCGGCGCGCACTATGAAGGAACCTTCCCGTTTATCAACCGAAACTTCGCCTCGAAGGGCGGGACTGTAGAAAGGAGTATTTACTAGGACGGTCCGTTGTTGCGGAGAGAGACGCGGTGTTTGTAACCCGTCACCTCGCCGGTGTGCGTGTGTGTCGCGCTGTGGTTGAGACGTGGCGAAAATGAGGCTGAGGAATGCGCAGAGGAAGAGGAGTGAGGCGAGACAATGGGCCGAGCGTCGCGGCATGGTGATTAATAACTGAAAGCGGTGAGTACTATAGGAACTGTCGTGAGAAAACGGTTGGCATGTGCTTCTCGTCCTGGTAGACTGACAGAGCGGTAATTGTGCCTGGCAGGAAGGAAGCTAACATCAGTGGAATCTGAGGCTGGCGAATTTGGAATTTGAAACGAAGGCCACCGACTCTGCCTTGCTGATTGTCTACCCAGCGCATGCGACGAATCCAGCTTGCAATTATGGTAGTTGCTTGAGGATACATGGAGGCGCAGATGAAGGTTGCACGGAAAATTGGTCAGGTGGAGGAGGGAAGGCAAGAACTGATGATGTCTGCTTCTGCTTCTGTCAGTTTGACAGCGTAGAATTCACAAATCGAAGCGCATTCACCCATGCCTATCAAGGCGCTTCTTCTGAACCACCATCCCAAAGCCCACAGTTTCGGCCAACTTCATTAATACTCAGATTAAGCCTGAAGCGGCTTACAAACGTAATCGACCAACAATTTCGTAGTACAGTAACTAAAAATACCGTTTCAGACAGTTATTAGTACAATCCTGAAACAATGTCGCCACCAGCAGCTCCGCACATACCCGACAAAAAGGAAACATACTAAAACGCTTGGATAACCAGGACGGAATTCGGAAATATTAACCCTAAATACGGGAAGTTGTCAAGTATTTATGATTATCTGCTTGAATAAAGGACACCGCCCAACGGAGCCTGCTACCCGCGGGCAATAAAAATAACCCTCCTGCTAAAAGGAATCCAGTCAGGATGGCATTAACCCTAAACACCTTGTCGCATGATGTTTAGAATTGATGCCATCCTAGGGGGTTTTAATTTTCTTTCGTACGAGGTCAAGAGGTCCACGGACGATGGGGGGTTAATGGTGCCATCAGCCCTAATCCGTTGATTTATCCCGAGTCTGCATTCTTTTTCCCAATGGTTTTTTTTCTTTGCGCAATTCGCGCTTGATGCAATTTTTAATGGGTTAAGTATTCAATGTTTTTTTCTGTTTATTCTTAGGTAGCACCTCGACACATTTTGTGTACATTTGAGTTCGGTAATTGCGTTCTGTTTCTGTTACATCTCGGCGGTTTTATTAGCATGAAAAGTGTGATTGACAAAAGACAGCCAATCAGCGAGGAAAAATTGAGGTTGAGTACCGACGCAAAAAGTCTCTGGCATAATTTGAGTATCAATGAAGTTGGCCGCCACAGTTTCGAAGTTTTGGCTCAAGAGGCCAATCGAACCCCTTGAAGAACAAGGCTGTGCAACAGAAGTTGCAACTTTCAAATATGCTACTCCAACTTCCAACACGAACATAAGCCCCATTTAATCTCTCGGTTCTTTAATCTAGATAATACATTTCACTTCATTTCCGAGGATTTGCCCTGCTTGGGTTATGAAATAGCATATTTACCGAGCTTTCGGTTCCCTTGACTAGGGAACAAGCCAGCCTTGTGGTTGGATTGGTTGTGTGCGGGTGCACACAATCTGTTTCGCCGAAGACGGAGGCGACACGAGTCAGACGGGGTCCAACACCATTGGCTGGCTGTGTAGCCAGTCAGTGGGGGCGTGGTGAACTGCCGGGACTTCGAGAGCCGTGGTGTCAGGCTTGTGGCAGGGTGTTCGTGAACTGGATATCCTCGGCAAGAGACGTTTCCTGTTAGCATATGACGCTACAAATAAGTATGTCAGCGTTTCGAATGTACTTGCACAATACATGAGCAACTCAGTAGGAGAATATCAGCAACAACTGCACACCTTTCTTCAGAACAGAGGTAAAACGCGAGAAACCAGACTGAACCGCATAAGACGAAGTGCAACCCTGAGGAGCCCTTGCCACCAACCAACGAATTAGGGAATAACGTCGCACAGGTCGCACAAAGATTCTGTACGGAATCACTGACGGCATTGTGCGATGATAGCAATGAACACCAACCACGAACCCCGACCAGCGACATTCCTTCCTAGCAACGCAATGCAACCACCACAACCACACCCCTGTGTTCGCATTGCGACATATCTTTCGTCCACCTCACCTTATCCACACAGACATTTATTTTTAGTTGTCTGAACACCGTCCTCGTCGGCGTAGCGAGTTTAGGCCATTTGCTTCTAAAATGATCTAACCCTTTTCATGCATGCGTAAAAGATGTCCAGTAACCGACAATTGCCCGATGGTTTCGCCGATTCTATCGCGAGCGACGTGGCAGGGGCCATTCCCGTCGCCAGGCGATCATCGCCAGAGCAACACACGTTGTCCACTGCTGACAACTTTGCTAACCCTGATGGTCTCGCCAGTGCTAGCGCTGGCAGTTTACCTTATCCCGCTTCACAGCAGCGGTTTGTACCTCCAACGCACGATTTTATATCGGGTGCTCCGACAGGCCCTATGGAATACCCGACAGCAGGTTTTGAAACCGAACCTCGTCGCTCTCCCCCGGATCGCATGCTTCCCGACGCCAGCCGCGGCAGTCCGGCAACTCAACGGGGCGGGGGCGGGGCAAGGCGCGGGGGAGGCGGGCTTGTTGGCGGAAGGTATGGCGCAAGAACTGGCGGTGTTGGGGATGAGTATGGCAGGTGGGAAGGCGCGCAATCAGCAGGGATGATTCCGCAGCAGCAGCAACCGCCGCCGCAGGCACGACAGCAGAGGCCACATCAGCATCGGCGAGCAATGTCCGTCAGCGCCGTTGGCGCGTTCCAGGGAGGCGGCTCGGATGGGAATGGCTGGGACATGGGGATGGATGCGGGCGGAACCGCTGTGATGGCGGAGGAGCTTGCGCGGGGGGTTGGCGCGGGTTCCGCCACCGCTGCTGGCGCGTCCGCGGGCAATGCCCGACCCGGTCGTGGCAGGGGCGCAGGGGGCAGTCATATCGCGGTGTCTCCGCGCGGAGCTCCGCAGTACACAGGAATGTCGCGCGGAGGGGGAGCTGGGGGGAGGATGGGGAGGGCGCAAGCCATGGTCGCTGGGAGAGGACCTCAGGCTCGGCCCCATACCGGAAGCTCGGCTTCGGGGCCTTTTGGATCGGCAGGAATGGACCCAGTGAGACATGCAGGGATGGGCACCGGCGGGCCTGGTTCGGGGTCCCCGAACCACTTGCCAGGTGCGGCACCGAGCCAGTTGGGTGGGGCAGCACCGTGGCAGTCAAACCGAAGCATTTCCTTCGACGGGCCACGGGGAGAAAGTCCCAATAAACCCACGCCCGGGTCGTTTCCGCGAAGCAACACCACGCCCCTCCCCAGCCAAGTCCCCCCTGGGGGCGGCGCAGGGGGAGGGGGAAGCCCTAGTAGCGGGATGCGGGCGGGGATAGGGGGAGGGGGGATGGGGGCGGGGATGGGCATCGAAGAGCATGAGATGGAAGGGCAGGACGTGGAGGGGGGCGTTGTGGGGGGCGGCATGGGCGGTGCTGTGGCAGCCCAGCAGCAGCTGCAGCCGCACCAACACCTGCAAGTGCAGCACCTGCAGCAGCAGCAGCACTTGCAGCAGCCGCTGCAGCAGCAGTCGCCCAGGAGGCCGGTGCATCGCAGGACAGCTTCCACCCCCCCTGAGAACCTCGTGCCTGCTGCTGCTGCTGCCGCCAGGCCCGCATTCGCCGCCCCTGCTGCTGCTTCTTCTGCTGCAGGCGCTTCTGGCTCTACTGCTGCTGCTTCTGGTGGGATGAGAGCAGCAGGAGGGGCTCCTGGTGCGTATGGGATAGCAGCGTATCCTCAGTCGCAGTCGCAATCGCAGCAGCAGGTGGTGAAGAGCAAGGGTGTAATGCAGGGGCAGATGCGTCGACCCAGCAGCGCATCGCCAATACAGCAGGGTTACCACCAGCATCAGCACCAACAGCACCAACAGCAGCAGCAGCAGCAGCAGCAGCAGCAGCAGCAGCAGCAGCAGCAGTGGCAGCAGCAGAAGCAACAGCAAGGCAGGTACGACCACTTATCTCTGGACCGGCACGGTAGCTTATCAGATAATGACTCAGATGATGACTCAGATAATGATGACCACGGGGAGGCAGCTATGGCCACTCCCCTCCACGCCGTTCAGTCCAGGTCTCTGTCCGCGGAGGGAGGTGAAACCGGGGGAGGTGTCATTGGGGGAGGTCGGTCTGCTGCCTCTGAGGGGTATGGCCGTGGGGCGAGTGGAGTGGGATGGGGAGGAGGAAGGGCAGCGGGTAGGGGAAGAGGAAGGGAACCGATGGCAGGGGCAGGCAGGGGCTCAGTTGGCCGAGGAGGAGTAGTTGGTATGGTGGGGCGAGGTTTGGGGGGAGCGAGAACGGGAGGGGCAGCAGCACAGCGGCACAGACGCACACAATCAGATGTGGTTTTCACAAGTGTGCAGGGAGGCGGGCAGGGGGTGCATCTTCAATCATCTGACGGCCCATACAAGCAGGCAGGCGCGCATGTGATGAAAGGGATGGGGAGGGGCGCAGGCGGGGGAATGGGAGGGGGGATGGGAGGTGCGACAGGGTCTGTGGTGGGTGGAGCAGGAAAGGCTGGCGCAGTGGCTGGTTCTGGGTCAGAATTCGGGGGGTTCTATGAGAGTGCGAGTGTGGGATTCTCAGGCGCACATGGCACGCAGGGGATACACGGTCCACAGGCGTCCATGGTGGGTCCCCGCAGCCCTCGCATGGATGGTTTTGCAAGAGCAGGCAGTGCAAGGCAGGGCGGAGTGCAGCAAGGGGGTGGTCACGCAGGAGGATACGGGTCGCACGCAGGGGTAACAGGGCCGCATTCAGGAGGGCCGCATTCAGGAGGGCCACAGCAGCAGCAGCGGCAGTCGAGCGTGGTGCCTGTGAGCCCTAGAGGCGTTCCTCTTGCCAACCCCCGGCACGGCACAGGCATGGCAGCAGCAGGAGCAGGAGGAGCAGCAGGAGGGGCAGCAGGAGGAGCGGCAGGAGGAGCGGCAGCGGGCGGGGGCATGCCTCCCCGCAGCCCCAGGGGACTAGCCTTCCCTCTATCAGCATCCACGTCCGCCCTGCACCCCTTCTTCGCCAGTCCCACGCGCTCCTTCAACAGCCCCACTCGCTCCCTCGGCAGCCCTGCCCACTCTCCCGGGCCCACACGAGGGCCAATGGGTGCTAGGTCCATGTTTGGCATCGACCGGCGCTTTGGCAGCTTTGTGGAGCGGAGCATGCGCGTGGGGGGGGAAGGCATGGAGGAGTTTGCGCTAGGAGGAGGAGTGGGTGGCGGGGGAGGGATAGGGGGGAGGGGGAGGAGGGGGAGCAGGGGGAGGGGGGTTTCAGAGTGGGTATGGCCAGTGGAGGGGGAGTCCCCCGGATGGGGAGCAGGGAGGGAGGAGGCGGTACGCGCTGCGGTCGGGGAGTTTTATCGAGAGGCGCACTGAGAATGAGTGGTTTGATCACAGTGCGTCTGGACCCTTCTCTGCTGCTCCTCATGCTGTTGGTGTTGGTGCTGCTGGTGGTGGTGGTGCCAGTGCTGGCTACTTCAATGCTGCTGAGGTTCAGATGGTGGGAGGGTTTAGAGGTTTGTCGCTGGGTTCTGCTGGGTCGAATGCGTTGAATCGGGTGAGTCACCCTGTGGGCCGTGCGACTAGCTATAACAGCAGCACGGGCAGCGCTGCCAGCAGTGGTGCCAGCTCCCCTGCTTCTGGTATTGCTTCTGCTGCGCATTCTGCTGTTGGTGCTGCTGGTCGGGCTCATTCGAAGAGAGCAGAAGGGATTTATGTCTGTGGTGGGCCAAGCAGACTGGGTGTGGCACACAATGAAGGGGAGGATGGGGTAGAGAGAGGGGGGAGAGCAGGAGCAGGAAGAGGAGGTGGAGGCGAAGTAATGGAGAAGAAAAGGGCTGGAGAGAAGCAGATGAAGGAATTGGTGGAAGATGCTGGTGGGAGGAGGGAGGGGAGTGGGAAGGGGAGGAGGCGGGGAGAGGAGCGAGTGAAGGACCTTCAGAGGCAGACGGATAGTGATGGCCACAGCGAGATGGATAGGGAGAGGAGGGAGAGGAGGAGCGGGAGGAGGAGGAGTGTCAGCAGCAGCGAACGGGAGAGTGGCAGAGGAGGCAGGGAAAGGAGGGGGAGCAGGGGACACAGGAGAAGCAGCTCCAGGAGCAGCAGCAGCAACAGCAGCAGGTCGCGGCGCAAAGACAGCTCAAGGGAGAGAGATACCGAGCAGAGGAAGAGCAAGGGCAGGCGATCGCGGTGGAAGGAGAAGGACGAGCGAAAGCCGAGGGTAGGGAGTGATAGAGAGAGTCTTACGGCGAGTGCGAGTGAGGTGGAGGAGAGGGACGTGCAGCGGTCCTCGAAACGAGGAAGGAGGAGGAGGAGCCATCGGCGGTATCGTAGGGTGGGAGGTAGCAGTAGGAGTCAGAGCGACTCCCGAAGCAGATCGCGAAGCAGGTCCGGAAGCAGGTCTAGAAGCAGGTCCGTAAGCAGGTCCGGAAGCAGGTCCAGAAGCAGGTCGTACACCAGCCAGTCCCGAAGCAGAAGCCTATCACCAAGCGTATCTGGGAACACCTCCCGTAGCAGGTCCCGTAGCAAGTCTCGTAGCAGATCCCATAGCAGATCCCGCAGTGGTTCTCAAAGCAGCTTCCGCAGCCATTCGTCAAGGGAGAAATTGTCAAGCAGGGCCCGAAGCAGGCGAAGCCACCGCAGACGGTCTAGCAGCAGCCATTCAGAGCGCAGTGCCAGCCCCAGCCAACGCAGCAGTCGAAGCCGCAGCGTTAGCCACAGCCGCAGCAGGAGCAGGAGCAGACGCGGGAGCCTGAGCCCGAGCAGTGCTAGCGATGGGTATAGACGGCGCAGGAGTGACAGCAGGAGCAGGAGCAGGAGCAGGAGCAGAAGTGATAGTAGGAGGGGGAGCACGAGCAGGAGCAGCAGTAGGGGCAGGAGCAGGAGCGGCAGCAGGGATAGAAGTGGGGAGAGCAGCAGGAACAGAAGCCGAAGCAGAAGCAGAAGCAGAAGCACCAGTAGGAGCAGGGGCAGGAGCAGTAGCTTTGAAAGAGCTAGGGAATGCCAGACGAGTGAGGATGAGGGAGGGACAAAGAATCTGGACTTGCCAGACGGTGAAGCAGGAGGGTCACGGGCAAGCAGGACAGGGGAGGCAGTGCAGCCAAGGCAGGTGGATGTGAAAGCAAGAGGGCAGATTGCAAAAGGAGGGGTTAAGGAGAATGGAGCAAAGGGAGAGCGGAAGCTGCACAGTGCAGGATCACGGACAGAGAGGAGGGAGCGGAGCGAGAGGGAAAAGGGGATAGCGGGAGAGGTGGGGAGGGAATTGCGTACAGCCGGGTCTCGGAAGGAGAGGCGTGAAGGACGAGAGGGGAAGGAGAGCGAGGAGGAACGAGGTGAGAGGAAACTGCGCTCTGCTGGCTCTAGGAAAGAGAGAAGGGAGGGAGGAGAGGGTGGAGGGGACACAGCAGGGGGCAGGGAGAGGAAGCTGCACACAGCAGGGTCGAGAAAGGAGAGGAGGGAGGGAGGGGAGGGTGGAGGAGACACTGCAGGAGGCAGGGAGAGGAAGGAGAGGAGGGAGGGAGGAGAGGGTGGAGGGGATACAAAAGGGGCTGGGGGGAGGAAGCTACGGAGTGGTGGTTCAAGGAAGGAGCGGCAGGAGGGGCATGAGATGCATGCGAGGCAGAGGGGACATGGGGATGGCAGGCGAGTGGAGGGTGGGAGCAAGGCCAATGGTGGTGTTGCTGGTCGTGCTTCAGAGGTCAGACGCTCTGTTTCTGGTGCTGGTGGTCCTCGTGCTGGTGTTGCTGGTGTTGCAGGGGAAAGTGCAGCCAGGCCCCACCGTCATCATCCCCACAACAGCAGCCATCCCCACAGCAGCAGCAGCAGCCACAGCCATAGCCACACCCGTGTGCATGCACACACCAGTGGCCACAAAGGGGGGACAACTAGCAAGCGAGATGTAGAGGCGGGAGCATCCCAAGCCTCTGCGCCTTCTGCCACCATGAGTGCTTCGAGCTTTGAGTGAAGCTAGGGGGAGCTGCGGTTGAGACAGAAAGGAAGAAACCAGAGCATTCAGCTTTCACACATTCAGCTGCTGGTGCTGGTGATGCTGCTGAAGCTGCTGGTGCTGTTGAAATAATAGTGGGGTTCTGTTGGCCTGGTAAAGCGCACTGGGTGCTACGTTGCCCTCATGGGTCACTCTTTGGCTCCTTGCTTCATGGCTGTCATGCTGTAACCAGATTCAGGATCCAGAGTGTGTACCGTATGTGTGTGTGCGTGTGTGTGTGTGCGTGAGATACTTGCTGGAACCCAGTTGGTATTAACAGTGAATCAAAGAACCTTGCTTGCCATTGTTGGTCAATCCCTTGTGAGTGTTTTCCCTGTAACTTCAATCATCCTGCACGCAGAGCATAGAATCAGATGTGCATACCATACAAGCAAATGAATGCACTAGAATGACTAGCATCCACACTGGTTACCAGAGCAGCTCAGTTTCCCAGCCAAAAATACAATGTTTGTCTAGTCCCCCCAGAGGCAGCTAATGGCACATCCACATCCAAAATATAAACGGCTGCAGCTGGTGCTTTATCCAGTGCGCAGGATGATGTGCACTCCGCTGTCCGTGTCCACAATGCCGCTCATCTCCCCCACATTGATCCCAAACGTCGCTTCCTCAAACGGTCTCTGCATCTGGCCTCGGCTGAACCAGCCTGAAACGAGGGATCGGAGGTGAAGAGAAGGGGATGAGGAAGGAATGGAGAAAGAAATCTGAAAAGAGGACGGTCGAGATGTCTAGGCAGCACTAGACAACACCTGTGGTTCCATCAGTTTCGCTCATTCCTAAGGTCATAGCGTACGCAGCTGCTATAATTAGCGACTGCACTAATGTCGGAATACGAAGGAACATCGACAGATTAAGACGTTCTCATGGTGTCTAATTCGTAGTCTAACTCGTGGTATATTTCATTCTTAACGAACCCGCGGTGTACTCCGACGCAACTGACGTACCCAGATCTCCATTGTTTCTGGCGGAGCTGCAATGCGATTCAGTCTTCGCGACCTGGCCGAAGTCCAGCTCGCCACTGGCGATGCGTTCTCTAATCACCAGCAGCTGCTGAATCGCCGCGTCCTTCGTCGTTCGCCCTATTGTCTCTCCATTGGGATCCTTCCAAGATGCTGGACGGCGAGAGCCTTGGTGCTTGATAAGAATGTGAGAAGCGCGGACTTGAGACATTGTTTAGGGAGAACGGCTACGATATGGTGGGAAGTACTTGACGACACTACAGAAACCTGACTAAAAAATGTGCAGATCTTCTGGTGTTGGGAAAACAATGATGGGTGCGACTGAGGGCGGGTCCAGCGCGTACGTTTAAAGGTTCTATACAGTTCATCCGTCGTGATTTGGAAAGATATCAAACGGTGAACAACGGTTCTGAAATCGCACCGCTATTAACCGTGACGCAATACAGATTACCGCACTGAATGAACTGTAATGTACGGAAAACGTACGTGCTGGACATGCCCTGAAGAACAGATACCTTGTCTCGAAACAGCATGTCTTTGTGCTGGTCAGACATCGTTCACTTCCGTTTGACATTGGTCAGAAGCGGTGGTGTAGGATGCTGTGCACTCTCGAGCGGTTTATTTTCTGAATTGCAAAATATCCCAAGGTCAAACCTCGGGAGTTCCGGAACTGAAATTTGTCCCTACCCTTCATTCCCTCTTCAGTTCAGGAGGAACCATTTGACCTGAGAATGTTCAGTATTGTTACGGGTGCAATGAATCGAGGTAGCGAGAATTGCACTAAGGTGTCAAACGAGTACAAAATGTGAGCGAAGGCATGAGCGAACATTTATACGCGAAACATGCAAAACTAACGCGGTGCGTGCGAGCTTGCTAGTGCTACGCTGGAGCGAGGCTCGGGCTAGTCCCGAAGCGTAGGCCGATACGGCCATGCCAGCAGTGCGAGGTTTGGTAAAACCGTGCGCGCGAAGTCGGCGAAGTTCCGTTAGCAGTAACGGGCGAACAATCGGCTGTTGCTGTACGCGATGTAGTCGGCTCCGTAAGGAATGCCGAGACAATTCCTTACACTACCCCCCCCCTCAAGAAGCCCCCTCCGCTACGCGAGTGCGTGTATATCGCGGAATCCCCGGCTCCTCAGGTACACTTGCAGGGCAGGGTGATTTTCGATGTTGCTCAGGGGCACCCAGCTATCTTCAGTTGGCGTGCGGTCTTTCCAGCGAACGAGGAATTCAATCCTCCTGATTCCCGTGGGGTGGCGGATCCGATGGCTCAGAATTTTTTCGGGCTCGATGATCGGCTCTGATGCAGGGCGAGTCATTGATTGTGGCCGGTGACGCGGCAGTTGACTTGTGGTCGGGATGTATGGGCGAAGTAGGCTGACGTGGAACGAAGGGCTGATGTACCAGTCGGTTGGCAACAGTAGGTGTGCGATGACGGGTGTGATCATGTGACTGATTTGGAATGGTCCACAGTAGCGTGGTCGTAATTTTGGTACGTCGGGCAGTCGCAGATTTTGCGTGTCGAGTAGCGCGTAATCTCCAGATTGATACGTGACGGGGCGGCGGTGGCGATCAGCGTTGCGCTTAGCGATGACGTTGGCCTTTTTTATTGCTTCGGCGGCTCTGGCGCGGGCAGCTTGCAGGATTTCGGCGAATTGTTGTGCGCGTGGCGTTGGGTTGTCCGGACTCGGCGTCATGGGCACTGTGGGGTTCTGCCCATAGTTCAGGTAGAACGGGGACTGCTGCGTCGTGGCTGATGTGGCGTTGTTGTACGCGAACTCGATCAGCGGCAGCTGCTGCTCCCAGGTCGTGGGGTCGTCGCACGTGGCACGAATCAACTGCTCCATCGTCTGGTTCGTCCGCTCCGTTTGGCCGTCGGTCTCGGGGTGGTACGACGAACTGAACTGTAGCCTGGTCCCGAACTGCTCCCAGAGGTTCTTCCAGAAGTTGCTGGTAAATTTCGTGTCCCTGTCGCTGATAATTGCTGCTGGTATCCCGTGCAGGCGAACAACGGCTGCGATGAACAGGCGAGCGGTCTCCTCGGCTGAGATCGACTTTTTGCACGCAGCGAAGTGTGCCATCTTCGTCAGCCTATCCACGACGACCATCACCGCGTCGTTACCCCCAGGGTTCGAAGGTAACCCTGTGACGAAGTCCATGGTTACTTGCTGCCAGGCGCGTTCGGGCGGTGGGATCGGCTGCAATTGACCCGCCTTCCGCTTCCTTGAACTCTTCATCACCTGACACGTCGGGCACGAGCCCACGTGCTGCTGTACGTCGGTCAACAGCTCCGGCCAGTAATAGTACCGCTGCAGTTGCTGTCGCGTTTTTTCTACCCCGAAATGTCCCGAGGTAATCCCGTCGTGTGCCTCCTGTAGTAGCAGCTCCCTCAGTAGTGAGTACGCGGGTACCCAAATGCGGTTGGTGCCTGCTTTTACGTAATAGACTCCTTTTGCTTCTGCCAGTTGCTGTGAATTTCCGGTCGTGAAAAATGGGTCGGTGCGGTATCCGTGGGTGAATAGGCCAGTTAAAAGCGGGTTGGTCTGGGCGAGTAGGATGGCATGGAGTTGGGCGGTGGGGCGGGTGAGAGCGTCGGCGATGTTGGATGCACCCTTTTTGTACGTAACGGTGTAGTGAAAATTGGACTCGAGATAGTCCAACCAGCGAATCTGTCGTGGGTTGAGATTCGGTTGGGCGCGAAGATACTGTAGCGAGCGGTGGTCTGTCCGTACTGTCACGTCGGCGCCAGTCAGGTAACATCGCCAAACTTTGAACGCGTGCACGATCGCTAGCATCTCGCGGTCGTGTATCGGGTAGTTACGTTCGGGCGGGTGTAACTTGCGGGACTCGTACGCGATTGGCTGGAGGCCGTTCCCGAAATCCTGCAACAGTACTGCTCCCACAGCGATGTCACTTGCGTCGGTGACGAGCTCGAACGGACGGTGGGGATCTGCAATGTGAAGGACGGGCGGGGAGCACAAAATATTTTTGAGGGCCGAGAAGGCAGCTTGCTCTTTCTCCCCCCACGTGTACTCAACCCCCTTCCTCAGCAGGTCAGTCAACGGGGCAGTCAGCTTCGCCATGTCGGGGACGAACCGGCGCACGTAGTTGACGAACCCCAGGAAACTCTGCAACTCAGTCAAGTTGGTCGGCGCGTGCCAAGCCTGAATCGTCGCAATTTTCTTCGGGTCTATTTCCACTCCTGCAGCTGAAATAACATGTCCCAAAAACTCCAGGCGGTCCTGTAAAAACTCACACTTAGATGCTTTGGTCAGTAGGCGGTTCTCACTCAGGATTTTAAAAACTGCTTCGATGTCTTGTAAGTGCTGTGCTCTGTCAGGGCTGTAAATCAGTATGTCGTCCAGATAAACGATGACGCACTTATCTAAAAGCGGGCGGAATGCTTCGTTCATGGTCATTTGGAAAGTGGCGGGGGCGTTGGTCAGTCCGAATGGCATGACGGTGTATTCGAAGGATCCGTAGCGTGTTCGGAATGCGGTTTTAGGGCAGTCGGGTGGGTTGACGCGGATTTGGTGGTAGCCTCCTCGGAGGTCGATTTTCGAGAAAACCCGGGCTGTGCGCAGTTGGTCGATCAGTTCGTCGGCTCGTGGGATGGGGTAACGGGATTTGATGGTAACCCTGTTCAGTGCCCTGTAGTCGATGCACATGCGAAAACCCCCGTCCTTTTTCGGTGTGAACAGTATTGGTGCGGCGAAGGGCGACGAACTAGGGCGAATGAATTCGTTTTCGAGCAGGTAATCGAGCTGCTTCCTTAGTTCGTCTAGTTCGGGTTGGGTCAGTCGGAAGTGTCGCTGTACTGTTGGCTGTGCCCCCGGTTCCAGTTCTATCCTGTGATCGTGCGGTCGCTAAGGTGGCAGTCCCGTCGGTAAGTCATCCGGGAAAATGTCACTGTACTGTTTTAACAGTGCCGCCAGGTCACTCGGTACGTCGGTCAGCAGTTTCTGTAAATCGCCCCCCTTGTCTGCTGCCTCGGCTTCCCGAATGTCAACCGCGTACACGTCAGCTCCGGCCGCAACATCGCGTTTCATCGTGATCGCGTTGACACGCACCGACGAAGACTCAGGCGAGCCCCAGCGAGGTAAGGCGATGTTGTTACCGTTTACTCGCACGGTGCAGTCACCCGTCGTCCAGTCAATTCGCGGATTGTGTCGTCGCAGCCAATCACGCCCGAGTAAAATGTCGGTTCCGTCGAGGGTCGTTGCGAGCATTTCCTGACTAAACGTGAAGTTACCCCCGCATCGAATCCGAACCCGGTCTACGCGTTCCCGTATTGCCAGCGGCGTGCCGTCTACCAGTCGTGCGTCGATCTCAGGTAAGCATCGGTCCAGTGGCAGTCGCAGTTTGCGTGCTGTAGCAGTGTTAATGAGGCTGTGGCTGGCTCCCCCGTCTACGAAGATTTTAACTAAGTCCATCCCAATTTTCCCACTGAGCAGTATAGGGTTATCTACCGTGGTACCCTCCTTATTCGGCCGGGTGTGGTCGATTGCGTGAACCGGCACAATCACTCGGTGAGGGTCGGTTGGGTCGGGCGAGCGGCGTGACCTGTCAGTAGAGGGCCCGTCTGCTACTGACTTCCAGCGTTTCCCTGCTGCTTGGTCTGTGTCTGCTGCTCAGCTTCCCCCTTTCCCTTAGCGTTTTCCGGGCATTCGCTCTTGCGATGTCCCGGCCGATTGCACGCAAAGCAGCGCCCTTTGAACGGTGCGGCAGCGGCATTTGCGGCGACGGCGCGTATCGTGGCGCTCTCGTTCGTCCCACGAGGCCGATGTCCCCAGGTGTTGTTTCCGTAGGACCCCGGTCTCGGTCGGCGAAAGAAGTCGAGCTTCTCCGCCATAGCGAGAATTTCCTGAAACTCAGTGACGCCGCGAAGCTGGATTTCCTGAGCGATGTCCTGCTTCAGGCCGCCGATGTAGCGGTCGATGCGTTCGCTCTCATGCATGTAGCCCACCTGCTCGCATAGCGCCAGAAATCCGCTCGTGTAATCCTGGACGGAACCGAGTTGGCGCCAAGTGCGGAGCTTCTGTCGCACCGAGATCGAGGCCGCGATTGGCTCAAATCGAGCGCGCAGACCTGCGCACCACGCGTCCCACGTGCGATATTGGGGCACCTCCACGAAATACGACGGCGCCCAGGGTCCGGTTTGTCCTTCCCGTGTCGGTAGTGTCGCGTAGTCGGTCGGCTTCGTGACGATGACGCGCCACCAGTCCATGGCGGGTCCTCGCAGCAACGACACGGCGTATCGAATCTTCGCCGAGTCCTCCGAGACGTAGTTGGCGTCGAAGAAGACGTTCATTGTGAACAACCACGCCTGAACGGTAGGACCACCCCGTTGACTCGGGTCAAAGCATGGCGGGCGCTGCGGCTTCAGCGGCATTGATGACGGCAGTCCCGAATCGTGGGTTGGTGGCGAAATCGTGACGCGAGGCTGACTTGGGGCCGCAGGCGTCGCTCTGGGGTGTGTCGTGCCGTGGTCGTCGTCTCCGTCGGGGCGGACGACGCCATCACTGGCCGCGCTCGCGGGTTGCCCCACACTCCCGTGTTGTGATGTTGAGGGTGCGGGTTGAATCGGAGTGCCAGGTGCTTGAGATTGTGCTCTCAGGAGGTCGTTTTGCAGTGATGAGCGTTCTGCCGTCAATGCCGCGATTTCCTCGGAGCTTTCGTGCAGTTGTCGCAGCAGATCGTTCAAACGCTCCTGCGTGAGAGTGGTGACGTCGATGTTTTCGGCCATGACGAAGGGCGTCGGCTCGTCTTAGTCTAGGCGCAGTCGTGGCTGCACGCGTTTACGAGAGAACGCGAGGACAGCGGCTCCTAGGGGCTAAGGTGCGTGAGTCCCTTCGAGCGAAAAATCAAAAGTTGATTTCCTGGTGTGCGGAGATGCGCGGTCCGAAAGAAAGGGGCTCTGATACCAAGTGTTACGGGTGCAATGAATCGAGGTAGCGAGAATTGCACTAAGGTGTCAAACGAGTACAAAATGTGAGCGAAGGCATGAGCGAACATTTATACGCGAAACATGCAAAACGGTAACGCGGTGCGTGTGAGCTTGCTAGTGCTACGCTGGAGCGAGGCTCGGGCTAGTCCCGAAGCGTAGGCCGATACGGCCATGCCAGCAGTGCGAGGTTTGGTAAAACAGTGCGCGCGAAGTCGGCGAAGTTCCGTTAGCAGTAACGGGCGAACAATCGGCTGTTGCTGTACGCGATGTAGTCGGCTCCGTAAGGAATGCCGAGACAATTCCTTACAAGTATACATGAGCAGTCTTTTCCACTACAGTTCTAGCAGCAGCTGGTGTTATTTGCTGAGAACATACGGCAAATTACCAAGTAGTAGATATTAGCAAAACAGAAGGCATAAAAACTGTACACAAAAAATGCAATAATACCTACTCTGTTACAGATTGGCCTTGCACAACGCCCAAGGCGTTGTGGGGACGTGGAGGAGGAATGAGCCCAAAGGGTCCCACTTGCACATCGAATAGCCGGTTGGAGTTGCATGCAAGCATAAGAAAACTTCCATGCATCGTGCCTCGCTTTGACGGCAAGGGAGTGTAGCTGATGTACTCAAATTCCGAGCCAAGATCCAAGATGGGTTGCTTGCCAATAACGCCAGGACCAATAACCTGTGACCAGGAATGGAAGAACAGGAAACGGGTGCCAGGGGTCCATTATCCTGATGCAGCCATCCAAAATCAATGTTTTTTTCTGGTGCTAAGGCACAATGCTCAACCTCAACTCCCACTGCTCACATGCACAGACTATACTCACAACTTCTCAAGCAGCAACATAACTGACCTCCTGTATGTTCCCATCGAAGTCCTTTATAACCCACTGCCTGCTTACAAGCTGCACCGGCTCATTCACTCCCTCATTGCGAATGCGGACCTGGAGAGTGGAAACAGAACGGAAAAGCTTGGTGTTTGTGCAACACGGACACAAGCAGACATGAAGTTGAGTGGGGGGTTGAGGGTGTGTGGAAGGGTGACTTGGAAGGATGGGAGAGGCTGAGGGAGGCGGGGGAACGAAGGGGGAGGAGAAGGGGGGGAGGGGGAGTAAAGGAATGCTTACACGGTAATGGTACAGAGCGCCGAAATGTATCTGGTCCATGACTTGAAACTTGCTCTGCACTTCCACTCGGACACCATGGCTCAGGTTGTCGCTGTGATCAGAGGCAGAGTGTGTCTGAAGCACTGCCAGCCGTCGATTCAACACAGCAAGCAACGAAAGGGCTTGATCCAGACGTTGACCCCAGTCCTCCTGTCAACATTCCCGGAAGATTAGCGGCAAACATCGAAAAAAGGGAATGGTGAGGGTGAGAGGTACTTTTCATGCCGTAAGTAAGCAGCATGAAGCTGTTCGGTATGAAGCTGTTCCGCATAAGGTAAGCAGAAAGGTCTCAACCTAGGCAACTTGTACTTAGTACTTACTTGGGCTTGCACGGAGCCTGGCTCTCCTGTAAGCGGCATTCGAAATTCCTGTCTTAGCAGGGCCAAGGAAGCGTCCCTCCCTCGCTTGATGGCTCTTAACGCGCCTGGCGTGTTGTCCTGCAGCCATGAAACCTCGGACTGCCATGTAACACGGGGATGGAGCGATAAGGAGTGGAGAAAAAGCAAGCGATTGCCAGGAAATACTATAGAACCAGATAGCCAAGCATTGTATTAAAACCACATAACCACGACAGACAGAATTTGAGAGCACCAACTTTGACATTCTCGGTCCAAGAAATCACATGACGAGACGACGTAGGGATACGTCTTTACTTCCACAGGCACGAACCAGAGAGAAGACGTCGGTTGTCTTGTGCCGTTCTATTTCCGATGCGAGCCGTTTCGTCGCCGCGACTAGAGCACGATATACTGGTCTAACGAGACCATGCCGGTCCGCCATATCCTATTCAAAACTTGCGGGGGCACGAAAATGACAAAAAGAACCCGCGGCTTTTGCGTTCTTCTTAATAGATTCTAGACTGACGACTTGTCCGCTTTCAGGGGAAAAAGAGCTATCTCGGCGTGCGTCGATGGTCTGGATAACAACCATTGCCACAGCACATTCACCCCGTAAAATAGTTAATCTTCTTCATTCTGCTTCTGCTCTGCCACGAGTAGCAGACTGCCACTTTCTCTTGCCTTAGAATAATTCGCATGCCTGGTGCGAAATCAGGCTCTTGTTTCGCGAACAAAGTGCTCGTCCTGAGATACAGATGTTGTCAGGTAAGCGAATGTTTACGAAATTGAGGCCAGCGTTCGTGGTAGAAAGAAATCACTGCGTTGCACGGTGTTGTTTCTGCGATGAGGTGAGCGCAACATTCATTGGTTGACAGCCCCATGCCACGTCAACGTGCCCTGTCAGGACTCAAGTCAGGACCACGATAGATTGGTGCATGCTCCTATACGCGGTATAAGCAATTTCTCATTTTCAATTTGAGAGCCTCATTCACAAGAGGTCACGTTTGTTCTCCCTTAGGATCCAGTGCGAAAGAAATTCCCTATCTTCTGCTGATTTGCTTGCTTCCCCTTGTCCGTTCTACTGTTATTCCTTCCGACTCCACTCTTCTTGACACCACGCTTCTTTTTCCAACCACCCAGAGCTCCCTTCCTCTCCACGGGCTCTGGCGACGATTTTATACGTTGTCGAGAGAAGCACGCCATCATTCGCTGCTGTTGCTTGACATCCACAGTTGAGAAATCAAATCCAGATGAACTGGCAGAGTGAGATCTTCCCAAGGCCGAACCGGATGGCTCATTGAACTCAGAACGCAAAGCAGGCTCTTCGGATGCCGAGGTTGCCATACTGGGTTTGCATCCGAAGAGCCTGCCATACCGAACGTCTGTGTGCTGCTGTGAATCCTCCTCTTGTCTCTCATCGGCACCATCACCATTGTTCCCATCATCCCCACCCCTATTAACGCCTTGTACCCGAGCAACATTATCGTGCTTCACCCCTTCATCCCACTCGTCCAATTCTCCCACTCCAACCACCCCATCATCCCCCCTCTTCCCATCACCCACCCTCGCACACACTCCCACGCCCCCATCATCTCTCTCACAGTGCCGCACTGCACCATCTCCAGCCGCAACACCTGCCCCCTCGCCTCTCTCCCTTTCTCCCCTGCCGACCTCCCTCTCTATCTCCACCGTACCCTCTCCTCTGCCCTCGTCCCTCTCTTCCCCCACCTCTCCCTCCGTCATTGCAACCACATCTCCCTGTACAGCACTGCCCCTCCCTAACCTCTCTGCTTCCAAGTCATCCTCCCTCACACCACTCCCGTCCCTCTCACCCCCCACACGCCCCCTCTTCAAACTGACCCGACCACCATCGCCTGTGGCACCACCAACGCCTGTGGCACCACCATCGCCTGTGATACCACGCTCGCCAGTGACTCGCATTGTCGAGAAAGCCCTTGATTCCTGTCCAGCGGTGGCACCAACTCTCCTCCTCTTTTGCACTGACGCATCTCCATGTTCCCCACCCTCACTCCTCACCTCCTTCTCTGCCCCTTCCTCCGCCTCGTCAGCATCACTCTGCACCCCTCCCAGTGCACCTGGCGTTTGTCCTCCTCCTCTCGCCCGTAAATCCCTTGCCTCACCATCATCTACTGCTGGGCGAGCAAGACCCCCTCCCACCGCATCCACGCCGCCTCCCACCACTCCCCCTTCTCCACTCATACTATTCGCCTTTCGAGACAGGCTGTCACCCAAATCCAAATCTTCCATGCTTGTGTGCTCATTCCTCACTCGCCTCTGACCCAGCATTCTCACTAGAGCCCCTTCAACAGCACCCCTCTTGCTGTGTGAACCCAGCCGTCCTCTGCTGTACCTCACTCTTCTCCCTCCTCTTCCCCGGCCCACTAATTTCCTTCTTGAATCTGTCCGTTCCCCTGTCCCTTGCTCCCCAATCCCCCGCTTTTCAGAGCCCCGCTCCTCTGTTCCCTTCTCCTCTTCACTACAAGCCTTGCCTTGCTCTTCTATTCTTAATTTCTTACTCTCACGCCGCCCCACTCCTTCAAAACCCTCCTCTCCCTCACTTCGCTCCCCTTCTTCCCCTCCTCGTTTCATCACCCCTACCCCACCCATGTCCGCCCTCTCCTTGACCTCCCATCCGCCCTCTTCCACCAGCTCTCGTTCCACATCTCCTTGTTTCTCCGCCCCTCCTTGCCTGTTTGCTTCTCCTTGCCTGTCCGCCTCTCCTTGCCCCACCTCCTCTCCCTGGCTATGGGCCTCACTTCTTAAAGCAGAGCCTCGACTGAAAGCTCTCAGCAAAGGGGACGACGAGTCACGAAGTGCTGCTGTGCCATGTGCTGGGCCGCGTGCAACGGGCACACCATGGCCTGACGCATCAGCTGCTGCTATGCTTGCAGTGCTTGCATGGCATGGCAGGGCGGCATGGCATGGAAGAGTGGCATGGCTGGGAGCAGGTGTGGGCGGTGCATGGCGGGCAGCAGCTGAGCGTGCTGTTCGACGGGAGAACATCTGATCGATGGATTGCATGCCCTGGTGTTCGTGCGTGTGTGCGTGCGTGTGTGCGTGCGTGCGTGCGTGCGTGCGTGCGTGCGTGCGTGCGTGCGTGCGTGCGTGCGTGCATGCGTGCGTGTGTGCGTGCGTGCGTGCGTGCGGTGTGTGCTTGCGTGCGTGCGTGTGTGTGTGCGTGCGTGCGTGTGTGCGTGCGTGCGTGCGTGCGTGTGTGTGTGTGTGCGTGCGTGCGTGCGTGCGTGCGTGCGTGTGTGTGTGTGTGTGTGTGTGCGTGCGGGGTGCATGGGATGGAAAAAAGATACGGATTGGGACGAATTAGAATAAGACACAATCGAGAGTGCTGAGCGTTTTAAAACAGTTTGCTTCGGGGTGAAACTGGAAACAGTTTACTCATGTATGGCTATGAGCAAGCAGGGAGGGTGACCACTTGGGAGGTGCGGTGCCTATCTGATTCTCAAACCCACCTTCACTCTCAGCTTCTCCAACCCACCTTCACTCTCACCTTCTCCAACCCACCTTCACTCTCACCTTCTCCAACCCACCTTCACTCTCACCTTCTCCAACCCACCTTCACTCTCCCCTTCTCCAACCCACCTTCACTCTCACCTTCTCCAACCCACCTTCACTCTCACCTTCTCCAACCCACCTTCACTCTCACCTTCTCCAACCCACCTTCACTCTCAGCTGCTCGAATCCCGAGGCTGACAGGGCCAGGCGAGAGCAGGGCGCCCACGCCCACGAGAGGGGCCTGGGGAAGTGGGCGGGGAGAGGGTGACTGCTGGACTGGCGCGTTGATAGATTGGTGGAGGGATTGTTGGCCTCCGTGCCTTGCTGCTGCTCACTGGGCTGAGCATGCAGATGTTGGCCCTGCTGCTGACCCTGTTGACTTGGTTGACCAGGTTGACTGGGTTGACTGGACCCCCCTGCCAGCAGAGTGAGGCCCGCAGCACACAGCAGCGCCTGCAGCTTCTGTCTCTCCTCCTCCATCCACCCCTCCCCTACAGCGTCCTCTCCTATACCCACACCCATACCCTGCTCGCCTTCCACTCCCGTCTCTCCTCTCGCCCTTCCCTCCCTTGAGGGAGCGTCCCCGCCCTCTGCCTCTTCGCCAAGTTCCTCTCTCCCCTCCTCAGCCCTCGCCACTCCCTCTTCTCTCCCACCAATCTTCCCCTCCTCAGCCCTCGCCACTCCCTCTTCTCTCCCTCCAATCTTCCCCTCCTCAGCCCTCTCCACTATCTCTCCTCTCCCTCCAATCTCCCCCTCCTCCCTTTCCTCCTCTCTCCCCTCCTCCGTCCCCTCCTCCTTCACATCCTGCCTCACCTCTCCCTCCGCCTTCCCCCCTTCCCTGCACCATCGGTCCACAAACCCCTCAATCACCCTCTCTATGTCTCGAGGCATGCCACATGACCTTGACTTCTCCCCTCCTCCCCCTCCTCCCCACCCACCACTGCCGCCGCCACCGTCACTGCCGCCCCTATAGTGCAGGTGCAGGGAGCGCGGGCGGCGTTTGTTGTCCTTTGCGTCCTTGAGCATGCGAAGAGAGAGCTCCTGCGCTAGGATGGTAATCCAGCGACTGTCACAGGGAGGGAAAGCGGTGGAGGAGAAGGGGGAGGAACCAGAACGGAGACGGGGGGAAGTAAAGTGGGTGAGGTAGATCATAGGAAGGACAGCTCCTGAGCCAGGATGGCCATCCAGCGACTGCCACAGGGAGGGAAAGCGGGGGGGGGGGGGGGGGGGGGGGGGGGGGGGAGGGAGAGAAGAAACCAGAAAGGAGAGGGAAGAAGTCAAGTGGGTGAGAAGACACAAACGAGGGGAAGGGAACGAAGAGAGGGGTATCCGTATCATGTGGGAGAGGCGCCATGGTAAGGAGGGGAGCTTTTGAGTCGACTCAAAAGCTATCATGTGGGAGAGGCGCCATGGTAAGGAGGGGAGCTTTTGAGTCGACTCAAAAGCTATCATGTGGGAGAGGCGACATGGTAAGGAGGGGAGCTTTTGAGTCGACTCAAAAGCTATCATGTGGGAGAGGCGACATGGTAAGGAGGGGAGGGCGATTATTTTTGTGAAAAACGAAAGGCCTTACTGAATATCATGTGGCCTTACCGACCACAGGCTCTCACACCCCTCACTTCGTAATAACGTGGAATCACCATATGCCATCCCATGCTGACGTGGAATTACCAGATGTCATCCCACGATGATGTGGCATTGAAGGACTTGGCTGCAAGCATGGACTTGGGCACACCCTTTTCCTCCACTGCACCCCGCAATGAGGATTGGGAAGGGAATGGGGACGGGTGGGTGGGCAATGGAGGGGAAGGGAATGGAGATGGGTGGGTGGGCGTTTGAGGGGAAGGCATGCGGTGTGCGAGACACAGATCAGCACAGCACACGCACAGGCAGGGGAATGCAGGAAGCGCAAGTGCACCGACAAATCATAAGCAATCTTTTGAGTCGAATCACAAGCGGAATGCAGGACGCGCAAGTACACCAACTGATCCAGATCCATTTTGCCTCGCAGAAACGAGTGGAAGGGGAAAATAGGGTGCGGACGGCACACCTGGTGTTTCATCCAGCCCTCTCACAGCCCTCCAAACGTAGTTCCCAAGCCTTTCCCCGAACCTGGCTATGAGGTCTGGGAGCTCCAGCACCTGTGCCTGGCCTGCGGTTGCACACCCCATTGCCTGCAAATCCTGCAAGAGACACGCAATACAGGCCAGCAAAACTCAGGGGAATCAGCATAACACCACATTTCTCCTCCTACTATCAATCAACTTCTCCCTCCCTCCTCACCCCACAAGCCGCCCACCCACCCACCTCGCCCCTCCCGCCTCACCTCACCCCACCAGCACCCCACCCCTCCCACAGCACCTGCCCCAGTTTGCCGCCCAGATTGCGGATCTTCTTGAGCGGAACGTCCTCCATCAGGGCAGGGACGGCACGAGGTGGCACCTGGGGGAAAAGGGGGAGGGAGGAGTGGGATACGGGACAGAGGGTGTACTGTGCGGTGCAGACTGAGTATGGAAGGTGACAGAGTCAATGTTCACAGTGCACTGGACAGTGCACACTGAGAGCAGAGCAGACACTACCATCAGCTCACCACGGTGATGCCCAACTCACCGCGGTGATCCCCAACGGCTTGGTCATGGCAGAGGCCGTCTTGGCGAGCGACTTGTGAGTCGACATGATGACATGCCCCCCTGCCAGGCACTCATCGCAATGCTATGCACCTGATACACTCACCACTCACCACGGTCATCCAAAACGGCTTGGTCATGGCGGAGGCCATCTTGGCGAGCAGCTTGTGAGTCGACTCAACACAAAACGCACTCACCACAGTGAGTGGCCCCTAATACACCTGCCATTGTCTCACCATTCACACTCACCACAGTGATCCCAAACGGCTTGGTCATGGCGGAGGCCATCTTGGCGAGCAGCTTGCAGCGCGCCACTCCCACACTCACCGTGTAGCCCAGCGAGCCCAGCACCTCCTGCTGCAGACGGTGGGCTACCACCACTCCTGCCTGCAGCCTGGTGGTGAGGGGAAGGGGTGGGGGGAAACGGGGGAGGCGCGGGGAAGGGATGCAGCACCCACTCTTGCAGCGCGCCACTCCCACGCTCACCGTGTGAGTGGGTACACGCAAGAGTGCTGGGAGATGCAGCACCCACTCTTGCAGCACCCAGCAGTGGCAGCACCTCCCGCAACAGTGGGTGGGCTACCACCACTCCTGCCTGCAGCCTGGTGGGTCATACGGGAGAGGGGATGCCATAAACCTGCTGCCCTGTTGCATGCACGCTTACCCGTGCCACACACTTGCTATCGGCCAGGACATGCATGGAAGGAAATGGGGAGTTTTGAGACGTCTCAAAACACTTCTTCAAACACGCTTACCTGTGCCACACACTTGCTACCGGCCAAGACACGCATGGAAGGAAATGGGGAGAACAGGTCGGCAGAGAGGAAAGAAGAGGGAAGGAGAGGCGAGTCTCACCTCCTCTCCACTTCGTCGTGACCATCCAGAGGTCCCTCCCGCACCACCAGCCGTGCCTTGGGAACCGCTGGTGCCTGTGCTGATCCACTGCCCTCTGATCCACCACCTTCTGATCCATCACCTTCTGGCCCTCCATGCTCTGCCTTCCTCTCCCCCACTCGCTTTTGCTGCGGCTGCTGCACCCCATCCTTCCCCTCTCCTCCCTCTTCTGAAACGTTCTTCTCTGTTCCATCCGCATTACACCCTCCATCAGTTTCCTCAGCCTTTGCTTCAGTTGCACCCTCTGCCTTCTCGTCAGTCACACTCCCTGCCTTCGCTGTAGTCTCACTCTTTTCCTTCACCTCAATCCCACCCCCTGCCTTCGCCTCAGTAACACTCCCTTCCTTCACCTCAGTCCCACCCCCTGCCTTCGCCTCAGTCACACTCCCTTCCTTCACCTCAGTCCCATCCCCTGCCTTCGCCTCAGTCACACTCCCTTCCTTCACCTCAGTCGCACCCCCTGCCTTCACCTCAGTCACACTCTCCAACAGAGCTTTCCATTGCTCCTCCCAGGCAGCAGTAGCAGCAGGGAAGGTGGCACCTGTGGCTGGGCAGGCCTCATCTGGTGCAGGCGGGACTGCAGCAGGTGGGCGTGAGAGCATGGCATCCACCTGCCCGCACACAGGGCGGAAGAGACACAGAGGAAGGAAGAGGCACGGGGGGGGGGGAGTCACAAGAGCACATTCATGATCCATCCATGTACATCTCACGCTCACCTCATGAATGCTGGTGTACGCTCCACCGTGCGGCGAACACTGGTGCAACATAAAGAGGAGGAACAAACAGCAAACCCCCCTTCCATTCTCCTATCCTCTCCCCCCGTGTGCCCACCATAGCAGACACATCCATGTATGCCTCGTCAATGCTCGCGCGCTCCACAATGGGGCACACGCGGCGGAAGGCAGAGAACACGCGCTGAGAGGCGGCCCGGTAGCGCTCCAATGAGACCTTGCCGGCATTGCGCCCTGCTCCTGGCGCCCCCCCCACCGTCTCCACATGTATCAGCTGCAGCTCCGGACACTGCAGTGCGGAGGTGGGTGGGGGAAGTGGAGGATGAAAAGGTGGATGAGACGGGTTTTGAGGCGCCTCCACGGTGGCGCTCCAGAGACACCTTGCCTGCATTGCGCCCTGCTCCTGGCGCCCCCCCCACCGTCTCCACATGTATCAGCTGCAGCTCTGGATACTATAGCAGGGAGAAAGGGTGGGCAGAGGAAAGGCTGAGGGAGTGTGAGGTGAGGGGCGCCTAATGGCATGGCATTGACCAGGGGCACCGGTGCGCCTCATGACGTTGACCAGGGGCACCGGTGCGCCTAATGGCGTTGACCAGGGGCACCGGTACGCCTAATGGCGTTGACCAGGGGCACCGGTGCGCCTAATGGCGTTGACCAGGGGCACCGGTGCGCCTAATGGCGTTGACCAGGGGCACCGAGGTGGGTGGGTGGAGCGAGGGCGAGAGGAACTAACAATCAATGGCCTCTCAATCACTTCACATACACGCCGTGCAATGCACAGCACGAATCAGCACAGCACAGCACGGCTCAGCACAGCACAGCACAGCACAGCACAGCACGTGCACCTTTTTTGGCCTGGAATAGAATTATAGAACCCAGGGCAATTTACGATTTCTTATAAAAACGCCTGATACAAGCGGTGCATGCAATGCATCCCAACCCCTGGACAAGCGCACCTTTTGCTTGGCTTGAAACACGCGGTCGTGCCTCTGCACGCCCCTTGCCCTCGCCGCATAGTTCACAGCGATCAAACCCTGACAGTGAGAGAGAGAACGAGCAAGGGAAAGAGGCAGCGATTAGAGGCACGATGAAATGACTCGTAAGGCGCCTCGACACTCGCCGTGCGCAGAGAGCATAGATGATGTGTGAGTCTAAAATGGTTCACTGTTAGGAGTCTTTCCTCAGGCACAGACGGGCGAATAATAAAGGTGTGATCATCGCGTGGAGGTGTGGTGAATGGAGGCACGGCGTGACATGTGCACGCGCGCATGGCATAAAAGACGATGGATAGAAGTACTGTCTATTCTTGAAGCGCCTCAGAAAGAGGCATGGCGTGACATGTGCATCTGCACATGAACATAAATCAGGACGATGGATGGAGGCACTGTCCCCTCACCTCCCACTGCTGCACGGCAAGCGGCGTGTCCCTGGGTATACCAAGCCGCACAGCCTCCACCTGTGAAGCAGGCACACAAATGGATGGGGTCAGACATTTATAGTAATGACAAATGCCGAAAAAACACTGTGTTAGACCGCGCAGGCGGCGATAGAAAAAATAAGGAATCGCAGAATGGAAAGGGAAAAGCGAATAGAGAAAGGTAATCGGGTTCGGAAACCCGAAATGCGGACGCGTCCTACTCGCAAAAACCATTCCACTAGCTCATTCCTAACGGCGGAACTTAAAACCCGCTGAGAATCCAAGCGATCGAGAAACGAAATTTAGAGCACCGCGGCATAGAAGCAGTCCAGATCCACGTGGAGGATGACGCGGCCATCAGACGTGGACGAGCTCTCTTTCGGCCGGTCATTCTGACTTCCCACCATGATCGGAAATCGGCATCTGCTGATAGGCGTCGTACCAACTTAGGAATTGATTAGGACTTCAAGAATGAGTCGGCGCACTATCTAGGAAGAATCAGGAGGAACTTACACCCCGCAATTTCGACCTAGAAATGGGTTTCTGACAGCCATCAAAGAAAGGAAGAGTGCGGTTGACGCTGCATAAGGGCTGCGACTGAACATATTACAGAGCAGTTCGATTGGAGAAAGAGGTTCTATCAAGTTCCGCTTGCCTAAACAATTGGTCTAGTAGAAATGTAAATCAAATCTGCACGCTCTCATTAGTCATAGGATGAACTATCGAATTACCCTGAATGGATGATCTAGGGGCTTATCGTATTTTGGCATTTTTCTCCAGGGGATTGTAACAAATCTGTTTCTTATCACCCCACGACACCCTTTTTACCAGCTTACTGTCATCGCCTTAATGTAAGAATTGTGAAAGCTTCCTTAGTCAATCTTGTTACGAATAGTGGTTACTGAAACACTATTGTGCACTCCTCACCGTAGCAATCGAAGCACGCACTACCGAGAATGAAGACGAAAGGGCAGAAGTAATGCGAAGGGACGTACGGTTACGATGAGCATCTGGACCGTCGAGTAGACAGCACCAGGCAGCAGCAGTGGCGAGGATTCTGCCCGAACAGTTCCGTAACCACCCGGAGTCACACGGTTGGATTTCGATGCAATAAGGGAATGTACCCCTTAGAGTACATGGCTAGCTAGGTCGTTTCGAATTCCCTTGTACTCTTATTTATATTCCTTGTACTGCATGTTTTTATCATCTGAAGCATTTACGTTCACTCTGCTTTGAGGTCAAGGACCCACCACCACTAGACTAGAAGTGTGTGAACCTTCCCGAGGTGATCCTGGTTACGATCACTTTCTGATCGCAGCATGGTATGAGAGCGACTCGGGAATCCTTCGCACTGCCATCTCTGAAACCTACGACATTCGGAAATTGGCGTCCGGCACACGATCGCGTGTAAGAATGGCCGGAGGATCTGGAGGTCAGACGAATCTGACGGCTGAAGCGCAGCCCAACCCGGCTGCGACAAGCGAGGAAACGACGACGATCCCTTCCACCGTCCTCGCACAACTGCTTCAGCGACTCACGAGCCTGGAGCAAGGGCTCCAAACATTGTGGAATGGCGACGCGGGAACTTCGTCCCAACCCACTCAACCGGCCTCAAACGGCCAAAACTCCGCCCCGCAAGGCTTCTCTCTTGATACGAATGGCTCAACACCCAAGACTCCCTGTCCCAGCAATGAAGCAATTCTCTCTGCACAATCAAGGTTTTTAAGCATATCAAAAATAAAGACAAGTGTGTGCTTTGACGGCAGAGACTTCTATACCTGGAGCTTCGAGCTGGAGCTGCTGCTGCAAAACGCGCAGATTTATCATTATTTCGACGGGAGCTACTCGGGACCTACAGAGGATACTGACGACGCAAAAACCAAGTACTACAACGAGTCCCTGATGTCGTACGGGGTTCTCCTGCGGTACATGTCACCAACGGAGCAATTGAGCATTCGCTCATACAAGACCTCGCCTGCTCCAGCCCTCAACGCCTGGCGCCACCTGAATGGCGTGTACCAACCCAAGGACTCACTCTCGTCGAGCCGCCTGCTTCAGCAACTACTGGAGACAAAGATGGCACCAGGAGAGAAGGCCAACAATTACCTGAATCGCTGTCGGAGCTTACGCGATCAAGTCGCGAAATTGGGGAGCACGATCAAGGAGGAGATCTTCGTGAACATCGTGCTCCAAGGGCTCGGCCCAGAGTGGCGGCCCTGCAAGGCGCTTCTCCGACAGCAGGGGGTCATCTCGGAGGCCGCCCTTTGCGCCGCCCTTCTCGTCGAACAAAGGGATATGGACCAGCAGCGACCAGCGCCGCGACGGGATAAGGAGCGCCTCGCATTCTTCACCGACAACACAGAAGAGCGACGGCCGCGGCGCCTCTACTACAAGATCTGCACAAATTTCGAGCACTTGGCGGATCGATGCAAGCATCGATCTCGCCCTCGCCAGACCAATCCGAGCAACTGGTCCGGCCGACAAGACGCGAGGAACGACACGCGTCCCGCCCAGGGGTACCAACCCCCATCGCGCTATCTGAACCCAACAGTTCAACAGCAGCAGTAGCAGCCATCACAGGCCGCCCCCGTCCGCAATGTCATGGGGAATATGACCATGACGAGCGGATCTCGTCGCCCGCGCGCGCGCTCACTCTCGCCTGAGCCTGCGCCCGACCCAATCGAAGCGTCCTCGAACAACAATCCGTTCAGCACGCGTCACGACTACAGCGACGACGACAACCAGGAGTGGAACTTACCAGTCCTGCTGCTTGAAAGCCCCCCGCACGTACCTGACACGCGGCCGGTGTCAGAATCCCAACCACTAGACCATTGGGATAAAAGGGCTTATTTCAGTAGCGGGTCAGTGCGCCCATAACCCCCAGGCGAACGCGCGTGTAACCCTCTCCAGGATCAATCGGGCATCCACAGTGCAGATCTACTGACACCCCCCCACACTGGAAGGCCTAGGACTAAGCACAGCGGCAACGGCCTACAAGTAGCGAAGAGCATTGTGCTTTGTTCTGTGCTCCAGTCTCTGCTCTCGACACAAGGCCAGCATGGCCTTGTTGTCTACGTACAGGACTGGAGGAGAACGAGGCGGCTCTCCAAGGTCGCTCAGCAGGTAGGTGAGCCAGCGAAGCTCCTGTGCAGCCATGGCCCCGGCGTAGATCTCGGCCTCACAACTAGAACCGAGAACAGAAGACGAGCGAGTAGCCCGCCACGAAACAGAGCCGGAACCAAGGCTGAAGGTGTAACCCTGTGACGACCGCTGCGTAGCCTGGTCGTCAGCCCAAGAAGCGTCCGCGTGCCCAGTGAGGACCACTGGACTCTGCCCTCCAAGCACTAGCCCCATGCCTGACGTACTGCACAAGTAGCGCAACACCCTCTTCGCTGCAGCCATGTGCTCTGGTCTGTGTCTCCCAGGAGCAACATAGCGTGCAAGAATGCTAAGAGGGTATGCAAGGTCAGGTCGTGTGCAGGTCATCAGGTACATGAGGCAGCCAACAAGCTCTGGGTATGGGCCACTCGACTCTACGGACTCATCCGAAGGCAGAGCTGAGAGCGAGTGGCGAGTAGGCAGAGGAGTGGCCTGAGGCGAGGAGTACGTGAAGCCGAAGCGCTGAAGGACCTGCTGCACCATGTGTGGCTGAGTCAGGGTAATGGTGCGGCGTGCTCTGTCCCAGGTGATCTGCAAGCCAAGGTAGCTGCGCAGTTCACCCAGGTAAGTGCACGTGTGTCTCTTCTGCAGCTCGGACTTCACGTGGGCGAGTCCAGCAGTGTCAGCAGTGGAAAAGACCAAGTCGTCGACGTACACGAGGATGTAGAATGGCGGCAAAGAGGTGTCGGTGCGTAGAAACAGCGACGGGTCAGCAGTAGAGGGAGCAAACCCAAGAGCCGCAAGCGTAGTCCTCAGTGTGTCGTGCCACTCGCGCGGTGCTGGCGGAGACCGTAGACTGGCCGTCAGAGGCTCCACTGGGTGCCAGGAGGGAAAGTCCCAGTGAAGCCAGGTGGACGGCGCAGCCAGATCTCCTCGTGCAGGCTACCCTGCAGGAAAGCAGTGCTGAAGTCAAGGGAGTGAAGCTCGTAGTCATGCTGAGCGGCTATGTGTAGCAGCACCCGAAGAGTGGTCATCTTCGGGGTGGGAGAGAAGGTCTGAAAGTAGTCAACTCCCTGCCGCTGACTGAAGCCACGAGCCACGTACCGCGCCTTGAAGACAGGCAGAGAGCCCGGCGGCCGCTTCACCCTGAAGATCCACATGCCACTGACGATGTTCGCCCCAGGTGGGGGAACCGCGTCAACGTAGGTGCCTGTGGACTTCCAGGAAGCCATCTCTGCATCCATAGCTGCCTGCCACTGAGAGGAGTAGGGACCCTCTACGGCCTCCGCGTAAGAGCGCGGAGTCGGGATGTCAAGTGCATCCGGGTCTCCCTCAGGGGTAAGCATTACGGACACGAGATGAGGTGAAGCAGCAGCCAGACACTGGAACTCCTCCTGCCTGTCCTCAAGGACGTCCGTGCCAAGAGCACACTCACCCCCGACGGACGGAGGACAGACAGACGCAGACTCAGCAACGAGACTAGCAGCGTAGTCTAGACGACAGCGAGCAGCAAAGTCGACGAGCTCAGCAACAAGAGCAGACGCAGCAGTGGACTCAAAAGAGGGGTCAGTGACGACAGTAACAAGGAGACGCGTGACAGTAGGACTGGCAGCACGAAGAGAGTCCGACTCCGGGTCGGCAAGGGCAGGAAGAGAGGACTCAAGAGGAGAAGGCAAAGGGGCACGCAGAGGAGCAGTGGACAGACGCAGAGACATCCGGTGTGTGCCAGGGACAGGAGGAGGACGCTGCAAGAACCGCGACCACTAGCGCGAGCAGCACGAACCGGCGACGCAGGACGAGACGCAGGCTCACGACGCTCAGCAAGACCTCCAGTAGGACCAGTGTAGGGAGAAGGAGCAGGCAGTGGGGAGGCCGGCGGTAACTGTGACTGTGACTGGACAGGTGGTGGACACTCTAAGGGAGGAGGAAGACCAAGAACCTGCTGAAGGAGCGGAACAAAGTACGGCCGAGGCCGCGCGGCGACTCCAGACACAGCAGGGACAGCACCAGCACCCCCAGTGGCAGCACCAGCGCCAACAGCACCTCCAGCTCCAGTACCTCCAGCAGCACCAGTAGCACCCGCTGCAGGACCGCCGCTAGGACTGACAGCAGTAGCCTCAGCGCCAACACCCTCAGTAGCTCCGACTCCAGTCGCACGCGCAGGCCCAGCAGCTCCAGCACTCCCAGGGCTAGCACCTCTGAGACCGGCGGCACCAGCACCCTCAGCAGCCGAAGAAGCACCAGCTCCAGCAGTACGCCTCCAGCGCCGGGCAAACCACTCGCGCAGCTCCTGTGGAGAGAGTGGCTC